ACCCCCTTTCCCTATCATCTTTGGGCCTGAGTTTCAATGAGCCAGATCACTCTGCAGATTTGAGCTTTTCATAGCAGTCTTCTACGGATTTCCACATTGAAAATGGATTCATTGTTAGAACACAGTCCAGACTATTGAAACCACTCATGCAGCCAAGGTTGTAGTGACAGTCTCGCTGATGGTTGAAAATCTTTCCTCGCAAGCTGTGCAAAAATTTGGGTACCCCATTACTGTGGGCGTAGTAGGGCATAATGTGTTTGGGGCTGGGAAAGTGATCGCGTTAATCACAGTCTGAATGCATACTGGGCGTGCAGGACAAGAAGTTTCCGATGGACATGGACCTATACATTATAGATCAGTTCTTTCTAATTGTCCGAAAATATTATACGTTCATATTTCAGCTCTACATACTGGTTGGTGCAATTGTGATATATGTAAAGCACGAAGTCGACTCCTGAGTTTGGTCACCTTGGGGCTGCGAACGCTGCACTGCTAGATTGGAAACACGAATTAGTTAGAATCTCAAGGTGGTCTGGCTCACACGAAGGGCTGACTCTCACCCGAGGAGAATTGCCGCGATGAGAGTTTGGAGACCAACATCAATTATCAAGCTGACTGGAAATATTTTCCGCTGCCTTAATTACTCTTGTTCTTAATGAGATGGTGTAGGATCACTTGAGCCTCTTTTCCTAGATGATAAGATACATTCACTCGCCATACCCATGGTGTTCAGTTGTCCCCCTCGATATTCCACTCGGTCTCTTTCCATTGATAACATGCATCCTGTATAACCCTCTACATTCAACAGTGCTGCCATGTTCTTGAGGTGTCTCTTCAAGTGAAAAAATACATAGTTATTAAAGTTCTCGGTTTCGGACAGGCACATTTGTAATCTGATTTCGTAGGTGGCCTCTTGAATAGGTGCGTTATACTTCATTTAGCATATCTGATTAAGAGTACTACCAATATGTTAAGGTAATGAAAAAAACCATCAACAAAGTCTAAGAAAATGCGGGTCATCACGCACAGCTTTTCATGACATCAATGAAGTAGTCGTCCCAAGTTATATCTCCGCTTCTTCTCTGTAGATATTATATCCTCTTCCTTGAAGTTTGGCAACTGATTGTTGTGTGATTGGTAAGATCCTAACCTCCATATATTTCATAGAAGGTTTATGTATTTTCTTTCACTCATGTTCAGACTTCACTTTCATCACTCTTCACAAGATGCATGGATATTTTTGTTGTCAAAAGCTTCAATCAATGATGCTGGTCACCCAGGCAATGTCTTCAGACCATAACACCATAACAAGATAGCCATACAATTTTAGAATCTAAAATCTCACAAGCAATCTTTTCATACCTTTCCTTTCCCACTTACCTTTTGTTACTCCCTTGTTATTTTTCACCTCCAACCACAACAACAACCATATGCAAAGAAGAGACAAAAGAGCCTTGGGTAAACATCTTACTCCCGTCTCATCTTTGCAACAATATTGACGTCTTTATTGCCTCAGTAACGAGCAAATAATTCTTTCCACCCAAATAACCTTCTCAATTTTCTCTCCCTTAGCTACCTCATTTTCACTTTGCAACCTTGCCAACAATCAAAACGCATAATATTTTCCAAATTGAGACTCGCTTTTTGATGTTGGAGAGAGTAGCACTTGCAATAATCATCGAGATAACAATTCTTGTGTTGATATTCGCCGTTCGACTTTTACTAGGCTCCGTTCAACACAACGAGGTGAATCGAGAAATCCTTTTCATCCTCCTACTTTTGGCAGTAACAGGTGTTATCTCATTTTCCATCTCCCATCTCAACTAAAACCCAAGATCGAAATCGAACAAAACAACCACCTAAATAAAGCTCTACAACAGTCAAGATGCCGCCACCACCACCATTACCAACTCCCACTCAACCTTCCCTCACCAGTGTTCTCGCAAAACCAAAAACAAAGGGCAAGATTCACGTCTCCTTCACAGACTGGATTTTGGGCGGTTCACTCCTCTCCATCAATTCTCCCAATCCGAATAATGTTGTTCCTGCAGCCACGCGCCAGAGAAATGATAGTCGTATCAGAGCAACGGCCACGAAAGATAAAAAAGGGAGAAATATTGTTATTCTGGAGGATCGAGAACAAGACGGGATGGTGGGAGAAGTGGAAATGCTTGTTGTGAGGAAAGTTAGTAAGAAGAATGGGCATGGGAGAAGTAGGAGCGGGAGTGCGGGAGAGGTGGTGAGTGTTAAGGCGAAGATCTCAGAGGAGGTATTGGAGACGGTTGTGGAGGAGAGCAAGGAAGAGAAGAAGGCAGAAAGCAAGGAGGAATTGAAGGATGAGAAGAAGGAAGAAGTGGTTGAGGTCAAGAAAGCCGATGGTGACGATAAGGGTGAGCATGTATTGAATTTGCAGAAAGATGGAGACAGTAAAGAAGAGGCAGTGAAGGTGGTCGAGGAGAAGTCTGAGGAGTCAAAGCCAAAGGGTGAAGAGCTCAAAGCTGATGTTGTCATCGAAATAGCTGTAGTCCCAAGCACCGAAGACAAGGATAAAGACAAGACAGCCGAACCGGAAGTCGTTATCGTCGAGGTCGAAGTCAAGGGAAAGGAAGATAAGGACAAGGGCAAGGATAAGAAGCAAGATAAAGATGTTAATGAGACATCCAAAGGCGAGGATGACCCCGAGTCTAACACTGCTAAGCCCGAGGAACCAAGCGCTGATACCACAGTCACAGCCACAGATTCCAAAGAGAAGACCCCTTCGATTACTGATAAAGATGCGGAAAAAGCACCCGAAGAACCTATCGAGATTGCAGACGATAAGAAGGATGAGAAGGTAGAACCTGTCAAGGGAAATGAATGGACCAAAGAACAAGATTCGAAACTCATTGCCATGAAGAAGGAAAACAAGACCTGGAAGGAGATATCTGGGGAACTAGGTACCGGCAAGAAAGAAGTGGTGGCAAGATACAAAGTCTTGCAAGAACAAGAAAAGACTGAGGACGAAGAGGAAAAAGCAGAGGTAGAAGAAAAGCCTAAGAAGGTCGAAAAGAAAAAGAAGACCAAGTGTACCGCACAAGTCGACAATGAAGATACAGAAGAGGAAATCTACATCTCACCAGATTGTCCTTACCATCAACCCAAATCCAATGCTTCCGCTGCGTCTGCTCCAAAACAAGAAAAGAAGAAGAAGCGCAAGTCTTATGGAGAACTTGAGAAAGATAGAGATGATGAGGATGAGGAACAGGAAGAACGTATGCAGGGAAATGGACATGGAAATCACCAGGGACATCTTCGACCGGATAAAATATGGTCAGCAGAGGATTGCGAAACTTTGGAGTATCTGATGGAGAAACATAGGAGTACACAATGGTTGCAATTGCAAGCTGGGTTCTTCAACTATACTGGAAGAATGGTTAAGGCTGAATTTATTGAGAGAAAGTTTAGAAAGGATGGACTTGCTTGATTGGGCGTGGTTAGTAGGCAAAGTCTCCAACCGGGATAGATGGAGATTGATTCTATTTGATTTCATTTGGGTGGTTTGTTTTGGAGGAACATCGACATTGAGATTGGAATGCGAGTTTTTGATATATCTTTGCATCAGTTATTGGTCTTGACGTCGTTTTTACATAATCTGGGGGTGAGATTGAGAAGGGTATGTGGATCAGCTGCCTCAATTTGAAATGCCGAGCAAATAGAATATTGAAGATAATTCGTTCATGAGTTTTTTCTTTATCCAGCACTTCAGACTTGAGCATTGGTCTCGTGTGCCAGTTCCTGCTTTTAATGGATGGTAATGAGAAGAGCATGAGGTTTTACGAAAGCGCCGGTTGGTATACCGAGATAGGGACGATGCAGATGCGTGCACATTCAGTTGGCCAAGTGAATTCTGCTGTGAGAGTACGTAGTTTCGAGGTCATTAGACAAGTTATTCAGGTAGTCATTATGCAATCTCTAATGTTCTTTGGTTCCTACAAGAAAGTCATTTGCAAAACGTAGCTAATCTAAACACTACCCAGGCATTTCCCATGAAGGAACCCCCCGAGAACATCACAACATACATCGAAAAGCGCCTAGTGGTAACAGTGAAGAGGAGCCGTCTTTGTTACTACAGCGATGATTATGTAGACCCACATTCACGCCTGTTTAATCGAGCCCGAACCCGATTCTTTTCGTACTCATGGTAATTGTAAAATCCCATTGATTGTCAACAATCAATACATGACGATTACCGATATTTCTCACAACTTGGCACCCCCCCTTCTCAATCCATCACCAAGTTTTGATATCTTTCACAACACATGCTCCTAATCACCAGGAAAACTCATCTAAATTCATAGAATGCAAAATGAAAAGAATTGTCTCCGTCCTAGCCACTTGTATAAATCTCCTACGACTCCAAGAAATCCCCAAATACCCGTTTCAATATATCGAACATTCGAGACCAGATATCAAAATTAACTTTCGCCAAGAAGTGAAATCCCCGTCATCGACGAAACCAGGCAGCTCTACTCGAGTAAATCAACTAAAAAAATGCGCTACGGGCCCGGTATTTCGTGCATGTGCCATGAATCCCAACTAGTATCTGAAGTTAGTTTATCAAGTGAAATACCAAAACCTCTAAATGAGCATTATTGGTGGAGGGGTTGAACTATCAGAAGTAATGATGCACTTTGAATTGCAGAAATATCGGAATTTGAATCTTGGAATGGGATTTTACATCAAAATTGCATTGATTCGTGCCATACTATACTATGCTATACTATACCATAGAAGGATAAGTTCCCTAAAAACCAGAACCGGATCAGCAGACTCAAAACTAGTGGGCTAGCTCCTGTGTAATAGATAGGATATCGTTCTCTACCTCTTCCCCACCCCCCATCTTCCCCCAAAACACAAGTAGAACTTCTCTCATCAAGTTTACCATCATTTACACGGACACACACATGCATATATAGACATCTTAATTCTTAATCTTGATTCTCAATATCGTCGAAACCAAAATGTCTATGACTCTCCTCGATATTGCGATGACGGAAGCAAGTTCCAAGCCAAGTGGAAGTGGTCACCGAGAAAATGACAATGAAAAGCGAGGTTTCCCTCAAGAAAACAGTAAGAATTCTAGTAGTAAATCAAGGGGTGAAAGTAACTCATGCATGTTAGATTGCGAGAAGGACGGCGAGAAGGTTCACGAGAAGCCCGCCAAAGAATCGATGTTTTCAATATTCGAATTTCCAAAGTCAGAGCCCAAGTTAAACGCACAGGAGAAGAAAATTGAGAAAGAGAAGAGAAAAGAGATTGAAAGGAAGATCAAGGAGGATGAGAAAGTCGAGAAAGAGAAGATGGAGAACGAGAGAAAAATGGGAAAGAAGATCAGAGACGAGGAGAAAAGAAGAGCGAAGGAAAAAAAGAGAGAGATGGACAAGATGATTCAAGAGGCCAAGAAAAGAGAGAAGGAGAGAATAAATATTGCAAAAAAGAAGGTCGAAAATGATATAAGCCAAGTTAAGGCCGAGTATAAAAGGTGGCAGAAGGAGAATGATTGGAAAAGAGCTGAAGCAAGACGAGTAGACGCGGAACATGCAAGATTATATCATTCATCGCGGGATGGTCAAACGTATACCGATGATCAAATGCGCGTGGAGCATGAATGGCGTTGTCATGATGCCAGGGCGAAGTACGAGAAAGATCTTCGGATTGAACAGCTGAAGTCGAAGTTGAAGGCACTGGACTTGCAATTGACAATGTCAGGAGAAGAGTTATTGCGATTGTATCAGTTGAAAGCAGAGGATGAAATATCCAAGGAAGAAGCAAGAGAACGATTGAGAAGATCCATGCAGACCGAAAATTCTGTAGCGCAACCCAGACAAACCGCACAATCCATTGAAGAAGAACTCACTAAGAAATTCACCTCATCGGTCGTCAGCCAAGGAATCAACTCTTCTATGGAAGACAATCCTTTCTATGCGCCTGGCGAGTTCAAGTATCACAAGATAGGAGAATGGGATTCCGACACTTGCAAGGAGTGGATCTATGATTCTCTTGAGGATGGTCTTACAGGCTTTGAGCTACAACAGCTATGTTGCCAGTTAAGAAAAATGCCACGTATCCGTGGAAAGCAAATGTTTGGAGCGACGGAAGAGGAATGGGTTAAGTGGTTGGATATCCAAGGTCTATTGATCCATGACAAGTTGCAGAAGATCGCTGAAGTGAAGGTGGACATGTAGAAAGGGAAAGGGGTATCTATAGAAGCGGAAGGGGAAGTGATTGTAAAATGGTGCTATGAAGCCCGATAGCATATTGAAACAAATGTAAAAAGACTACACAAAGAGGACTGTTCGCTTGAACAGGCCGTCTATCAGTATAACGTAGATACATCACATAGTTGACAACACAATCCTAAGGTCAATAACAGCGAATTTGATCTCCTCTCCAAAGTGGAAATGTAAGTTGTGAAGATATCGCCCTCTGTTTGTTGCAATCTATAATTATGATCAATTCATTTGTGAGCTTTTTACATGCCAGTAATCAATAACATTTGCCCATTCGCCATGGAGTATAACCTACACCTTCCCAGCCCATTCCGGTCTTTTGTAGCCTGCTCAACCAAAATCAATATACTAACACATAAAGAAGTATTTACACCATAGCATTGAATTTATATCACTCCATCACTGTTCCAAGAAATTCTGAATTATCCCAAAGCCTTCTGGATCAAACTCTTACTGGTGTCGCTCATCGGTATCTGCAATGCCAGACGATGTCCTTCCTCACTCATCTTCCCCCACGTCTTTCTCAAAATTGAGATGATTTTCTCTTCATCATGACCCTTCTCAAAAGCATCAAACTGATCATCTAGGAACACTAGACAAGCAACATCCTCCAAGATCTGCGTCTCCTCATTTTTCTTCAAATCCTCTTTCCTTATCAATCTAGCCACTTCTTCTGCTTCCTCACTTGTAAAATTGCAACCAACACATATAGCAGACGCAAGATCAGCCTGTCGTTTCTTGAGAAAGGTCCTCCAATTTAGATACCCGGGCTTGGTCATCGGGTAGGAGGAACGTGGTACTTCCCAGCGTCGAAAATGCTGTGCTCGGATAGCAACTTTGAGGATGGGAGAAGCATTGGGAGCGCGGAGAGAGAGATAATGGGTCATTTTCTGGGCATAGTGAAGCTCGTATGGTATACTCTCGCCATTTATTGTGCTGATAGTTGGATCTAAAGCATGAGCTTCATCAATCAAAGTGATTGCAGCTTCGTAGTTTTCCGCGGCCATGATGTGGAATTTTGGAGTGCGTATAGCTTGTTTAACGTTTTGATCAAGCTTTGGAAAGATTATCTGGAGAAAGGGAGAAATAATTCGGAGCTCGTGTTAACAGACATATATATTTTCAAGTTGTCTTCCTGGTTTCTGTGAGGGTAATTCCTATCTTCGTTTTGTTTCTTTCGTGGAAGGGGAGAGGGGAGCTAGGAGAAGAAAGCGATAAGAGAACGATAAGGTGCGGGGTGGGGTGGTAGCGATGAAGAACCAGCCACGTGCCAGCCTATCACCGCAAACCTTGGAACACTTCAAGTCGCTCATCATTTGCGATTGCATTTTTGGTATCAAGATTCATGACAAGACTGCTCGCCGACATTACAGAAGTCAATTGCACACTATCGTGCTTTAGTATTTTCCTAGCTGCTGGCATTTGCTAATACCTTTACAAGTGTAAACAAGGCACTGAGTTGAACAATATCGTCAGCAACGGAGGACATCAAACAACAGAGGTATCTATGATTGATGAGGAACATGCACACAATCATTTGGTATAGTAGCAAGTACAAGTTCTTGCGAGTTCTTGGGAACCAACAGTAAAAGAGCCTATCTACTTGTATCGTCCGGTTTGGTCGGTCGACATAGTATGAGCCGCGCGCTTGAACAGAATAACCAGATCTAGGCCGGTTCCCATCTCGCATCCTACACTGCAGTACTGACTTTTATTCTTGGAAGCGCATTTTGAGGTTTCGTATCGTATTATCTGGGTGCTTGATGTTCCTCAACTTTGATTGATATCTATGCGATACCTCTGAGGTGCTGGCACGACCGGCCGTCAGAATTTGAGACTCGATTTTTATGATGAGTGAAGTTGGAGCCTGGCATTTTGCTGGCGAATTTCCTTGTACAGAGGAAAGAACCATTTGAGGTCAATCCACATGGTCGTTAGCAAAGGATGCTTTTGTTTTACCTGAGGGCAGCATAAGACCACATTGAACTTCAACTCTCATGTCAAAGCTTCATACAGTACAGTCAATTCTACCCCTAACATTATACGGATAATGTCCCAATTGCAAAAACCTAGTGCTTAATGCGAACAGAATACATCATCGAAGGGGATGCTGGTTTCTAATGCCGTTTTTTGAGCCCCATGCACATTATATCGGAGAAGCCGGCCGATACATTCTCATGAAGCTTTTCAAATGGGCTGTACTTTGACTCTATCGCGGCCGCAGGGTTAGTGAGCACTTGCGTTGATCATTGCGCCACCAGAAATAATGGGGACAGATATGTAGCCTGGATGTGAACAGGTCTCTAAGCCTAACTGGAGGACGAAGACAAAAGAACCGCGGAGCCCAACTTGAAGGTCTTGTTGGAACAACCTGTGCCTAATATAATGTTAGGTTAACACGCCTTCGCATGTCCCTTTTCAAGCATAATCTATCTGCAACCCCAGAATATACAGTGTCAGAGAAAGTTGCCCCTAGCACTAAATCCTTTCGACATGTCGTCGCATCATAGTGCTAGCAAGCCTAATGTTAGAACCGAGACAATCAAGAGTGGTATTTTTTCAACATGTGAGTTGCTATTCTAGCGAGCTACACAACCGGAAATCTATCAAGAGGAATTCGTCTAACACAAATCTCTAGATAAATTCGGAAACCACGACTTGAAGGTCCTGAATGACTGCACAGTAGAATTGGATCTGGTGACCTTGGATAAGTTATTTGGCGATCATTTCTCAATTGAATCAACTGATTCTCATGAAGAAAAAGTAAGTAAAATTGGAAACTCTATAAGGCCTCAGCTTTCATCCCTCCATCACAACTACTTGATGATATTGTCCACCTAGACTCTATCATTACTTCTATTAACAAACCAATGTTTTAGTGGATCTATTGGCAAATAACAGAAGGGAGAGTTATAAATGGAAAGACTAACTTTTCCCTTTCAAGATATCATCCTACTTGTAAGAAAATGCCGTGTAAGTTTACCTTGTGTCTCAAAAAGCCAACTGCTGGTCTATATAGTATAAACATCTACTGACAAATAACAAAGACCACACGTTGAGCAACAAAAGAATTTGGATTACCAATTATACCGCTGGCCAACAATACAAAACGGTACGTGATCTAATTAAAAGTACCAGTGCGATTGAGGCATTTGCACAGAACGAAAGTCACTGGAAACTTGATTGGAACAAGGAGGAGGGTCGGCTTGCCCTTGAGAAAATGAGTAATGGAAAATCAAAGGGAAGAGAACACTCCCGATCCCGCTCCAGCTACAAGAGACTGGAGAGCGAGACTGGCAATGAAAGTTCAAAGAGCACGTCTGGCAACGAGGCATTGGGAATAGGGGAGACTCGCTCGCATAGATCAATGCCAAGCCCTCTTCCTGGCTATACACATTCACTTGTTGAAAGCCAAAATTCGGAAATGGCTTGGAGTGGTAGACCCGAACCGATAGATTTGTCTTTGTCCATAGGTATCCACAGAAAAGATCGAAATGTTCGATGTAAGTTATTGCTCTCGTATTTGTATATTTTGGAAGGTTACTGAAATTGCATTATAGACTACGGATATATGCTGACAAATAGTACACGGTTTGCTCTATGGTGGGATGAAATAGCCGATATATTACTCTCAAAGGGAATTATCAAACCCCCCAGCGCGAAAGGATCGAAGGGGCAAGGCAAACTCATCGAGGAAGGCAACAGGATAATGATTCAATTTGACACTGGCTCAGTTAAATCCAAAGTAGGTGAGAAAAAATATTCTGTATCATATATCTCCAACCTATGTGATGCGATTCAAGGAACTCCAAATGATTCATGTACCCATGAAAGATACAGGGTGAAGACTTGTACGTACTCGAACCCCGCGACTCAAGGTTATCATGTTGTAAAAATGCTAACACACTGCTAAGATTCGCTTCTCGAATACAAACATGGTATTGCGGCCGACGAACAATACCCTTCGATATCTATTCGGAATAGACTTAGGTATGAAGTCGCATGTAAGGATATCCTAAGAGGACTTGGCAAATTAATAGGAGAGACAGACGGAGAAGGTATCTTGGCTAAAAACAAAGGTGAAATATGGAAACTCATCCAGAAAAGTGATGGAGCCTATCTCTCGAAATCAAACTCCACACAACTCCCCATAACAATACATTCACATGCAAAGCATCAATCGGACACTTCGTCAAGCGTATATTATTCTTTTAGCGAAGAATCACAAGGAACTAGAAGGCTCAAATCTCACTCTGCTCATAAAAGTCCTCCTAGTGTCAGCAGTCGTGACGGCAGTAACCAGGACAGAGCACCACCGCAAATGAAACTTGAACCCTTTCGTGCCAGAAGCGTCGCATTCGCAGCACCCGAGGGACATATCAAAAACAACCCAGACTGCAACAAAAGTCGCGAACCACACAGAGCTGCCACCTCAGGCTCGCGCTTCGGCGTTGAGTCAGATGCCGTGGAACAAAATATCTCTTTTTACCATCCTCCAACATCCAGTCATGGGAATTCAGGCTCAAGTATACATCCACACGCACAAACACAAACAGAAGAGCCGAAAGAAAGAGAACGAAAATCCTCAAAATTTAGGGTACCCAAATTTTTCAAGAACAAACAGGATTCTAGCGACGGACAAGAATATAGCAGCAGACAGGAGAGAACACGCGATAGGCACATGAGAAGGGAAGTGAGAAGGGAAGAGAGAAGGCAAAAGCGGAGAGAGAAAAAGCTGGCAGAGAAAGAGAGGAAGGATAAAGAACGGGAAGAGGAAAGGAAATGGAGGGAGGAAATCAAGCAGATGAGAAATAGGAGAGGTCCTTCGGAGTGGGGATGGAATGATGGGCGTGAAGAGAGGCCTAGGAAATCCTCGACTCGTGGGAAGTTGACTTTCACGTTTTCTATCGAGGGAAAGGGTAGAAGACGGAGGGGAAGTGATGTCTGAGTATTTTGAAGAGATTTGCTTTTCTTTGATTTGCTTACTTTTATTGCTATTGTTCTTGTCATTCTAATGTATACATTTTTTCCCTTTCTTTTTTTTTTGGAGATTCTTGCTGTCTTTAGAATTTTGTAGCTATTTCATTTGTTTCTGTCCCTGTTTTTGTTTTAATCCATCAAATACATAATTCCCCCATCCTCTAATCTTTCCTATTCTTCCAATATAAGATGAAAATAATTATATATGCTCCGCACACATTACAATAAAATACATGCAGTACAACTCCCCTCAAATTTCCAGAAAATCGAATAAGATGATCCAATTCAATGAATCTACATAGATATCGTATCGTACGTATAGATCGATATTCATTTTTTTTTTAAAGCGAGAGGATTTTTATATACGAGAGAGTGGATTGGTTATTATCTACCTAATTATCTACCTAAATATCCATATCCATATCCATATACTCACGCTCACACCATCTCACCCAATACATCCCAGAAGATCCAGATTATTACAAGATCTTATGTACTGACTCACTCGCTCACTCACTTACTTACTGCATGTATGTATATATGTATGTATGTATGTATGTATACAATATATAACTTGTGCTTGTAGAATATAAAATATGATGCGTACCTAGGTAGTTTTGTGATTTGTGTTGTGTACCTAGATATCAGAAGTCTGTTTTGTGATGGGACCGAAGTTCACATGTTGTGAGATGGAGCATCCATGGCGATGGTAACAGGAGCAACCTGGAAGAGTGGGAATACGAATGATCACCTAGGTTGTGGACAAATTTTGGATTTTGGATTTTGAATATGGTTATTTGAATGGAATTGAATTTGGGATTGGGATTGGGATTGGATATCTGGTATTATGGTGATCAGATTTATTGGATGGATATTGTATATTGTAATCTTACATCGTATATCCTAATATTCACAAATCCCATATCCACACAACCAACATCAGGATTCAGCAGTGCTATACAAGATCACAGTACAGACCGATATATACCCCTTTCTCATGCTATCCTACCCTATCCTATCCCATCATTGTCGACTCAGTATTTTACAAATCCAATATCCAATATTTAGCTAGCTAGTTAGCTAGTCGACCAACCAGTAATACTAAGTTTTCCTCCTAGCAATTTCCTATAGATCTCCCATCAATTTTCTGAATGACTTGTAGGAAGGATTATTTTATACCAGATCATATCAGATGGGATGGCGGGGATGAAATCTCATTTAAATGACTCGATGGACGGAGTATAGAGGTAGGTAGGGAGGGAGGCGGTTGATATTGCACTTTCAGACGAAATATATGGAGATAGATGATGGTTGTTAAGAACGAGGACATGAGATAGATTTGATGAGGTGGGAGTGAGTGGTGACTGGCGAGTTTCGTTTGTGATTGGTGGGTGGGTGGATTATGTTGTATATCTGCGGATGTGAATGTAGACGTGAATTTATATCCTCGCAGCTTTCTTATTCTATGACACAACATAGCAGCGAAAACCCCACACCAATCCAATCCAAGCAAAAAAACCCCCATTCATCAATACGACATCAAAAAACTATTCACACTCTGCAGCGTTGCACGACTCGGATTCGCATCTGGCATCGACGTAGAAATCCAGGTTAATCTCTGACGAATGAAATCTTTATTCACCGACGCATCTTCTCTCTCTTCTTCTCCGCGCACAACTTTCAAATCCCCGTTATCGGCGAAATACAGACAGAGAAGAGCAAGTGCGACACCGATTGAGAGATCGTGTCCAGTCTCGCATGCGATGATGATTTGGATAGATGGGTCTGAAGATTTGTTCGCAGAAGATGTGTGGAGGTACTCGAGGAAGAAGGAAGAGATGGTTGGGAGAGCGGCGCGGAGATTCTTGCTGCCGACTTTTTTGGCGCCGAGTCCGATGTCCAGGCGGGAGGGAGAGGTGTGCCATGTATCTTTCGGTGTGACTTTTGGTGAGAGGACGATGGTGCAGGTACTGCTATTCGTGTTTGGGGGTGGAAGCGCATCGATAGTCGAGATGGAGAGACAGGAAGTTGGTTTTACGATGCGCAGTTTATCGTTCGATCTGAGCGATGAGCCTGTTTGATGTATCAAAGTTCCAATGAGTCCAGGTAAATCCTCTTCTGATGTCTCGAATAAGATTTCTTGATTTGTCCAGAAAATAGGAGGGGTAAGTCCGTGAGCCCAGTTTTCTGTATCGTCACCTGCTCCTTGTATATAACCACCCTCACTAATTTCTCCGCCCGAAACCCTGCGCGAAACCGTACAGCAAACAACTGGATGGAAGTCTTCAAAAATCTCGCTTGTTTCCGAGATTTGCGACTCGGGAGTCACCCAAATGGGTCTGATTGGTTTGTGAAATTTCTCTCTGAAAGATGCAATAGGGAGATTGAGAGTTTGAAATGCTTGCACAAATTGAGGAATCAGATTGGCCATTTGGGCTTGCTCGGAATCGGAAACTACTTGTGGTGGAGCGTAGAGCTTATGAGCGGTTGGAATGTCAGGAAAGAAAACCCGGTTTAGTACACAACACCATATTGGGATTGTTTTGCTCAATGCATCAGGCATACCTTTTCAGCATTAGTATACTGGGAGCGAAGTATAGAATCTAAGAAGTAACTAACGCTTTCCACGCCTAGTAGAATCTACAATAATACATCTGCATGGAGCTTTCAGCCTATACTCTATGGAAGTTTTACTCGAGTACAAACCCATCATATTTACCAATTGTCTCTAACAGATGTAAATTCAATCTTCGGGAGCTGAATTTCCAGACTCCGGTATGCCCATCGGTACTTTTGAAGTATGCACTTCCTCCTTTCTTGCTGGGATCAATGTACCAGCTCCCACATCTCTCATTTGCTATAAGTGGTCTATTATATGCATTTGCGACCGACTGGGCGAATTTCGCGTCTTCGAGAATTGATCGAAGCCGGTTATGTATGGATAAAGTACTTCGTTTGATTTCACCCAGAGTCTTTGAGAAGTTGTGATTTGCTTGCTCATTGAAGACAATATCCGCCACTGTTAAAGGCATTTGATACATCAGCTACTTAGCCGTATGTCGATAAACCCAGCTTAGATTTCGATATGTTGGAGGAGGGAGGGGTAACAAATTGTGTATTCTCGAAGCTCAAAAATTCTGGTGGGGGTTTCATTAATCTGGGCGGTGAGATATGGCAAAATTAAAGAGTGAATTTTACACGATTCCCAAAGCCGGGAATAAACTCTTCAAAATACCCTGATTTCCAAACGATGTAGTTTGATTCCCAATCAGGATTGATGAGGATTGAAACTCTCGAGGGATTTCATAGATGTGCAACAGATGAGTTGAGAATGCAGTGTTTGCCGCTTCCTGGCAAAGCAATTTCCAACCACATCAGCGCTGAGTGCACAATCCATCTGCCAAGAAGTTATAGCGTTTACCGGACAATATTCATCGTCGGATTTCACCAAATCTTACATTCTAGATCTTGTGCATTGGTTGTCCACGCGACACATTTTCGAACAAATTTTCAGTACTGGAGAATATTGGAATGCAGTTTCGGCCGATCACATCAAAATCTTGAATGCTAGGAATTAAAAGGATGCTCATAGATTTGGTTTCTTTTGGAGGAGATGATTGAATTCGTTGTGCATACTCCCCGTTCACCGGGAGCCCAAACGACCTGACTCGCGCGCCTCGTGTTTGAATTCTTGAATAGCATTGGATAGGAAATTTCCCAAATGCTGGGACGTCTAAATAGCTAGATGCGGTATCATGGAATTGTGTTGATCATGAAATAAGCGATCTTGTTGTTGGGCTCGGCTTACATTACCGATGTGGCCAAGATGGGAATTGTTTTTGGGAACAGCATATCGTCAGACATGTGTTGTTCGGTTATTAGATGAGAGGAGATATGATACCATCTACTATGGGGAAAGCGCCAGGTGGAAAATGTCCGACCCTGTGCATACCTAGGTAGCTTTAGTATCATGTAGGTAGGGTCTCCTGCGCCCGCAAAGACTCAGTCTAAAATGATGACTAATCCATTGTGCCTGAAGAGTGTACCACCAGCTCATGCGATCTTTGACTAGAAAGGGGAAGGCGACAGACACATTTAACGGATGGGCTGCCATATAAACATTGACAGACGAGGTGGATGAGATCAGCGATCTGTGGAGTCCCCTATTCGGCTTCATGCGCGAAAGACTTGGAGATTATGGTACTTCGTGAAGCAGTTTGTCGAGAGCACAGCATGATATTCCAGCGATGTGATATGTATCGCCAGCTGGTCTCGCTGGAGCTGCTGGATATTAACAAGATCATCTTCGGGCTGTTGAGGCGACTACCCCTTCAACCGCCTGTCGGTAATGTTGAGCTCAACAGTAGAATTTCTACCCCTTTGATTATCCAGAATCGACGGTCACAAGATCAATAAAACAACCTTGAGGTTGGGTTGCATACGCACTGCACTGTACCTTACAACTACTGTAGGTAAATGATTTCCGAGCTTGAATGGGCACTCTGCAGCAGCTGGAAAGACTCCCAAGCCATTCTATGGAGTCTGATAAATCTATCACGCATAGCGGTACCGGAAATCAGGATTCGACTAGTACAGTAGTATCAGCGTGGGGGTCCATTTAATTGCAGATGCAAGAAGTTGATCAAAAGAAATGTACGAAGAGATGAACATCTTTTTATCTGATCTTTTGAGGAATATCTTCTCCTAGACACAAGATGTTCCGAGTAGCCGTAAGCGAGGAGGTGAGGAGAGGACCTCGAGTACCTAGGATGTTGTTGGGTTGGTTGTGTTTGGAGTGAAGTAGAACTTATTAGAAGTGAAAGATCTCGGGGCCGTCAATGTGATTATCAATGTGGGGAGTGGATGGAGTGGATGGAGCGAATGGAGCGAATGGAGCGAATGGAGAGGGAGAGTGGGGTCTTGGGTGGGGAACATTCTCACCGCCAAGGGGTGAAGCTTGGCAGAAAAAAAGATGAATAAACCAATCAAAGAATTTATTTGTATTAGATGGCTGGGATTAGCGAGTGACGTATGTTTTTGCTCTGTGCTGACTGATGAAAGATTTTACGAAGTATACCGGTACGCATCTACTCTTTTCCATACAGACCATGACCATGACATCCAGTCCATACCTAGATACCTATGCAGTCTGCACCCATGCGCGTGTACAAGATGTGCATGGTATGTATGGCGGATAAAGGATGAAAAGGCGGTTTAATGTTTCAATGTGTTGCCAATGAAAATATACTTCATGAATGGATGATACTCGTAACTATTCAAAGTATTCCATAAAAAGGTTTAAAGCAAAAACTTCATAGGATCTTTCAATCCCTGGCCAAGATAGCTACACCTACATTATTCATGAATGAGCACACCATCCATCTACACTGCATCCAATCAAATTTATCAATCTTTCACTTCAGTCCTATGGATATTTAACTTCGTCCTTTTCCTTTCATATACGATACCAACATATAATAATAATAAATATCATATCCTCCCTCCCTCCCAAGAACGAGATCGAAATACACACGACCTCTTCCCTTCTCCTCTTCTCTTCCTTCCACTTGGCAACCAAAATAACATTACCACAATTCTCCTCCTACGCCGCCATCAATCCGGAGCAAAACTTGCTTTATCACTGAAAATAATTAGAAGTGGAGGCTTCCCAAGGTCTTGGCATCTCGGACTAGAATTAATCGTGTATGGGTAGTGAGAAAGTAAACAACCCTTTCACTCAATCTCTTCGCTTTCTTTCAAACAATACTTTTTTGATTTTCCTTCCAAAATAATCATTACTTCCAAAATAATCATTACTTCCAAAAGCAACATCTGCGAAACTGAGCTGCACAATTCTACGTGCTTTCCGATCATTACAAAAAGGTGTCTGGGGGGAAGAGCCAACATACATTAATAAACGGCGGAGCGGCGACTGGGCGCGACCAGATTTCGAATGCTGCGACATCACGCAATACTTTTGAGGGAATCGACTGATTGGGGTATAACGAGCAGAGGAAATCCAATCGATTGAGCTACAACATTTCCCCTCCCCCGCCGTCGACAGTGCCCTTCCGCTAGCACGATATCGTTACCGATACCAATCGATTGCGATTGTTCTAACACACATTCTATACCGATCGACAACCATCTAAGACAGCCAAGATGGCTTGGGATCACCTCTCCATCAACAAACCTCATTTGGTTTATATAATTTTGGGTGGCTTCACCTCATTGTTTATGCTGTGTTCCTCCTTCATCAAGGAGCGCATGTATATCGGTGAAGCCACTGTCGCCACGATTTGTGGTATTATCTTTGGACCACATGCCGCCAATTTGATCGATCCCGACACTTGGGGAAATACCGATCAGATCACTCTAGAATTCTCACGAATTGTCCTCGTTGTGCAATGTTTTGCCGTCGGGGTCGAATTGCCTAGGCATTACATGGAGAAACATTGGAGGAGTGTAGTCTTTCTCTTGTTACCTGTGATGACCTTTGGATGGTTAATCACAAGTCTTTTCATTTGGTGGTTGATCCCGCCGCTAAACTGGCTGCAGGGACTTTGCGTTGCAGCATGTGTGACGGCGACAGATCCTGTACTCGCTAGTTCGGTGGTTGGAAAAGGAAAATTCGCAAAACGAGTACCGAAACATTTGAGAGATCTCCTATCTGCCGAATCAGGGTGTAACGATGGAATGGCATTCCCATTTATCTACCTTTCCTTATATTTGATTCGATTTCACCTCAATGCGAAAGAAGTCACATTTGATTTCATTGTCATAACCGTTCTTTACGAGTGTGTGTTTGGTGCAATTTATGGTTTTGTCGTCGGATACATTGGCAGGCACGGGATCAAATATGCGGAAAGACACGATTTGGTCGACAGAGAGAGTTTTCTCGTGTTCTACTTCGTCCTTGCTCTATTCTGTGCAGGTTCAGGGAGTATCCTTGGAGTGGATGATCTCCTTGTCGGTTTTGCGGCTGGCGTTGGTTTCTCGAACGACGGTTGGTTTACTCAGAAAACAGAAGAATCTCATGTGTCCAACGTCATAGATCTGCTTATCAATTTGGCATATTTTGTTTACCTTGGTACAATTATTCCGTGGGAACAGTACAATGATATGGAAATCGGAACTTCACCATGGAGGCTCGCTGTTATCGCTATCTTGGTCATTTTCTTTCGACGAATACCAATCATGATGGCACTAAAACCTCTGATACCCGACATAAAAACTTGGCGAGAAGCTCTGTTTGCTGGCCACTTCGGACCTATTGGAGTGGGTGCTATCTTTGTTGCTATTCTTGCGAGAGCCGAGCTTGAGACTGACTCTACCACTCCGTTAACTGAGTACCCTGACCGAGATGCACCGAATTGGGAATTGGTAACGGTAATTTGGCCAATTGTAACCTTTCTTGTTATTTCCTCGATTATCGTGCATGGATCCTCTATTGCCGTCTTTACCCTAGGCAAACATATCAATACCCTGACACTAACAATGTCCTACACTCAAGCTGGGGACGATGGACCCTCTTGGATGAATCGTCTCCCTCGTATCTCATCGATTTCGAGATCTCAAGCTAAGACAGCAGGCTCGGAGACTGACGGCGAGGATATGAGACTGGATGAATTACCACCAGGTACTCTGCCACCCGCGGGAGGAATTCCTGGAGGCTTCTTGCGCCGCCAAAAGGAGGAGGATAATCCAAGTCGCGCCAACAGTCGTCCTTCTTCAGTAATTCCGCGACGCAGAAAGAAGAAGTGGGACGATGGAGTAGGACCAGGTGGTCCTATCAGCGAGTCGGCCATTTATCCTGCTCGACGAAGTCGCGACTACTCAACTGGACATACATCTGATACATTAACGCCCGGCGGATCTTCGCCTGATAACGAGAAAGCAAAAATTGATGACGAGTCAAATGAAGGCGAACTTGGAGAAGTCCAACACGATCCGGAGATGGAAGAAATCATGCATCATGGCGAGAAGCAAAAGCGACACGATGAGCACATGTCGGACGCTCAACGCAATCCTGACAAGGCGGAAATTTTTGATGAAGGTGATCACATCATAATCGAAAATGAGGACGGCGATGTATTGAAAACCCTAAAAAGTCCAGAAGCTGGAACTCCCAAGGAAGAACTTGAGAATATTGAAAAGGGGATCAAGCAAGGGTCAGAGAAAGCCTACAAAAAGTTTGGCAAGATCATGGGTGTTTGGAGGAACAAAGACGAGGCCAAGGAGCATATCGAAGGAGAAGGTTCAAAGGGGAAGAAAGGAAAGGAGCCTCACAAGACTCGAGGTCCAGCATTGGCTTATCAGTATGGTAGATCTGTAAGACTATCTTTTTCCCTTTAGGTTGATACGATCCAGTCACTAATGAATCCATAGATTATCGTTGAAGATGAAGATGGAGAAGTTGTCAAAACATACGAATTACCGCCCGACCCTAACAGCAAAGCCCCTAAGTCCGGCGAACCTAATGCTGTTCGCCAAGGAATACACCGTATGGGTACATGGACAGGACTTGGTGGCCACAAGGTAGACAACGCTACAAAGACAGATGCTACAAGTGCAGAACCAGTCCGGCAAGGCATAACTCGAATGGGCACATGGAATTTCGGAAAGAATACACCAAACACTGAAAACAAAGAAGCTGAAGAAGAAGATGATGACCGTCGTATTAGATTCACTATTGGAGGAGCAGGACGCCGCCTAACTAAGGAAGACTTCTTAAAGGAAATTCAAGGTTTGGACCCTAAAGCAAGATGTGAGATTGTCGAAGAAAGTGATGCACCCAGGGCGATGAAGGACTTGGCAAAGAGAGACGCCAGTGATAAAACACAAGGAAGCTCCCGGTTGTTTGAAGCTCAAAATACGCAACTTGCTGCTGGTGCACAAACTGCGCGAGTGGTTGCAAAACAAATGGCCAAGTCACAGGGCGCGAAAATCGACGCAATCAAAGAAAGCAATGAAACAGGAAGCAGCAAGAATGAAGTGCCTGAGACGGCTGCAGAAAGGAGAAGAAGACATGATGCTTTGAAAGGAGTAGAGGAAGATGAAGAAACAGATGAAGCTAGAGGGCGGGGAAGGGGACGTGGACGTTCTCCTAGTCGTGGCGGCAACGGTCCAGAAGAAAAAGAAACGCCAGCAGAAAAGCGAAGACGGGAAGCCGCTCTCGGAGAAAGCGTACAGAGTGATAGTGATGATGATGATACTCCGAGAGTGCCACCACCAGCTGTACGCAGCAGGGGTATTAGATTTGCGCAGAGTCCTGTGAGAGGAAAGAAGTAGTTATGGATATATGATGTACATGCCGGTGGATTTCTAATGTTTTTCAAAAGGAGTTAATCTCATGTTATCATATTGTTGGGGAAGATCACGGCTATACTTGATAATGTTGCTACGAAAATCTTGAGATGATACCTACGTAGATGAGCAAACTGGCATTTTCGGAATCACGATTGTTGGGTGTTGGGTAATTTTGAATGGGTGGTCATACATAGCATACGGATATAATGTCATAGAATGGTAGAATATTGATTAGATTGATAGTTATGGGTGATGTGAAAAAAGATGTGATCGACTATGACATGCATCTGTGTTACTGTGTGGATGTGGTCGGTCTTAATTTGAGGTTATACTCGGAGTGATGATAATGGTTAAATGATATGGACAACGCAGTTACTGTGTGGATGGAAGAGGGTCTCTAGATAGGTATCTAGTAGTCTTTATTGTGACTCTACAGAGTATTCTATCCATTATTATTTATATTTCATCCAGTAGATTCGATATCTTTTTGAAAAATTTCGATGAAAGTTTGTTGTCGTCATTGATGGACAAGGATACCTTGACCAATGAGCATCGTTATCAGTTTTATTGGACCCCCACGCGCCTCTTAAATTGCCGAGCAAGATGAACGAAGATTCATGCGAATTTCGCCTCCAAAAGTTTCATGCTATCAACAATTAACCACACCTTTCTAAGAATACAGACTGATACCAATTTACGAATGGTCGCCATCTTACAATCATGAGTCAAAATAATAGAAAAGGAAAGGGAAAGGGCAGAGGCGGACAAGCAAGTTCGAGCGACAATTCTAATAGCAATACTCCAAATGGTGGTCGACCACAATATATGACTGTTGGACCTGGAAGTGCACCGGAAAGTGCTGCAAGACTACAAGCGCTCCTTGACAATGACTCTGGGTATGGAGGTAGTGTGGCTGGCGAAAGCTCGAACGGGATTCCATCATGGAATCCTACACTGACACCGGATAGACCTACTCCTCCACCCTCTTCCCTTCCTCGAGGACAATCGAATGAAGTTTCTGAGAACGAGAGACGGTCGCAGGCAAATGCAATACATCAACTATGGTACAACCAACATCGGGTCACTCTCGGTAGATCAATCAATCGTGTGGTGGAAACTCTGAAGTCGTTGCAAGAAATGAACGCACAATGGCCAGCAATCTACCCCTCAGTTCAGCGCGAAGAATCTCAACATCATCGACAGGACCCACGGCCAGGTTTGGTACATACGCAAACTGGTATCAGGTCATCAACACCTGAACCTCGTCCGGGACAAGTGCGACGTGCTATGACATCTATCGGTGAGGGTAGCAGCAATGCGGAGTCGAGTCAAGCTGCGGAATCAAGATCAACTCCGGAACCCCGACTTGTAACACCACAGATCGCACAGGAGTTTTCTATCTTAAAGTTGGATTTGAAATTGGGATCCTTACATCAAACCGAGTTGGTACATTCTTTGGAAAAGGCTTCGATCGCATCTCTGCTTGATGGAAAAATTAGTTCGAGCATAAATCATTTACTCTCACTACGAGAACGGATCGAAGATTCTTCGAGTAAGGTCCTAGTGACGGGAGATTTAAACACTGGAAAATCGACATTCTGCAATGCACTTCTGCGACGAAAGATTTTACCAGAGGATCAACAACCTTGTACGAGCATATTCTGTGAGGTTTTGGATGCGAGAGAAAATGCAGGAATCGAAGAAGTACATGCGGTACACAAGGAAACCATCTACGATCGACATGACGAAAGCACTTTTGACGTTTACACGATTCAAGATCTGGAACAGCTCGTCCTTGACAACGATACTTACACACAATGCAAGGTCTACGTCAAGGATGTACGCACAATTGACGAGTCCTTACTGAATAACGGAGTGGTGGATATTGCAATCATCGATGCGCCTGGTCTCAACTTGGATACTACGAAAACAACTGCGGTGTTTGCTCGACAGGAAGAAATTGATGTAGTCGTCTTCGTTGTCTCGGCGGCCAACCACTTTACACAAACTGCGCGAGAATTTATTTGGGCGGCAGCCGCGGAAAAAGCATATATTTTTATGGTTGTCAATGGATATGACAATATTAGAGATAAGGAACGATGCCAAAAAATGATTTTGGAGCAAATTCAAGGTTTAAGTCCTAGAACTTTTAAGGAATCCTCTGAACTCGTTCATTTCGTATCGAGTAACGCTATTCCTACTGCTGCACTTGGCCCTCCTGGTCCACCGGGTGGAAGTGGTGGCGGAAGCGGTAGTTCTAGTGGAGGTAGCGGTGATGGACCGGATTTCGATGATGGCTCAGATCCGAAAGGGAAGGGCAAGGGCAAGGACAAGGAAAAGATTAGAGACTTTGAGATTCTTGAGCAGTCACTGCGTCGATTTGTTCTCGAGAAGCGAGCTAGATCCAAGTTGGCTCCAGCAAAGACTTACTTACTCAATGTTCTGAGTGATATTCAAAGTCTTGCCACTGTCAATGCAGAGGTTGCACAATCTGAACTGGATCGTGTTACCAAGGAATTAGCAGATATCGAGCCAATGCTCGAGGCTTCTCAAAAGGCAAAGGCCGAAGTCAGCGATGATATCGACCGAACTATTGATGCAACATGCAAGGGCATTTACGATTACACCCGCTCGACGCTCAACGATACAATAGCTAGAACAGCTGATGGTGATCTTGGCATTCCATATCCAGGACTATTCGGTGCTTTCCAGTATGCCGATGACATCAAGGAAGCTATTATGTCCGAAATATCTGCCACAGTCTCCGCCTGTGAAGAACATGCACGTCGTAAGACAGTTGATGGCGTAACACAGATCAAGCAACTTGGCATCTTACATCTTGGTGATGAGTATACAGACTTGAGTTTCAGAAGCGACATCATGTTCAAGCGCAAGCGTGATATTCTTGCCAAGCATCTTGACATTGAGACTGAGTTGTGGGATTTCTTTGATTTTTCTACTCTACTTCAACGACAAGAGAAGATGGCTGGAACTGGTATGGCAATGACTGTTGCTACTGTCCTTGGTAGTCGTGCAATTGGCGGATTCGGATGGGTTGATGGTGCTCTGTCTGCCGCAAAGATTATGGGTAACAATAATTTGCGTAGATTGATCGTGCCAGGAATATTAGCAGGAGGTATGTTTTGCCTGATTCTACATTGTATATTCTTACTAAATTTTTCTAGCTATCGCCGCAGCTTACTACGTCCTGAACCAAATTCCCCAGTCACTTCCCCATCGCCTCTCCTCCAAGATCTCTACTCAACTTTCTGCAATTGATTACGTACACTCCAACAGTGATCGCATCTCTTCATCAGTACGCAAGGTTCTTCGATTCCCTGCCGATAATCTTCGAGTTGGTCTTCAACGTTCAGTTGAACAACTTGGTACCAAGCGTGAAGAGACCAGAAAGATCAGGGGTGAAAGTGAAGTTGCTAGGAAGTATTTCGGCAACTTGGTCAACAAAAGTGCGGAAATCAGAAATAATGTCGAGAGTGTGGATTTGGAGGGACCAGCTCCAGGAGTGGCCGCTGCATACGATGCTTAGATTCTTTGTTATACCCCAATATCTCTTTTTCTTCTTATGCGTCGATGACTGCTTTCTCAGATGAATAAAAAATGGCGTTTTCTGAGCAAATTTTTTTTGAAGACAATTAGGGATGGATTGGTGGAACAGGTGATGGATGGGTGGTGACGTGGAAAATGGAAATATGAGTGGCGTTGGTCGTAAGCTTTAGGATTGATTGTATGGCGTACCTAGCTACTTCGGACTCCCCTCTCCACTTACTTTACTCAGTAGAAAACAAAAGAAAGTAATATCATATATTATAAATGTCATATATGAGATGTGCGTTTGTATTCCTACCTCGGATGAGCTTGTTGCCAGGCCATTCATATATCAGCTTATGGTGAGCTTTCTAGATGGGTGGAATTCCAGGTGAGCTTTTTCCAAATGGTTTGTGACTTTTCGAAACTTCAAAGGCTAGCTCCAGTGCTCATAGCCCATGAATTATACTTTCAGTGAGCATGTCTCCCTCCAGACTCCAGTTGCATCAAACGAGGATAGAGATTACGTGCCTTAGATATCAGGTTACAGTTCAGCCAAGGCTGCTAAGATCCAAGGCTACGATTCTGGAAACGAAGCCGAACCATTACTACATGACGACTTGCGCGGCTGCATCGAACACACACCATCATATAATCCATATTAATTCACCAACCTTCTCACCTTTCTCCAATTCCCTCCTACCTTCAATCCCAATAAACACTTTCAACCACAACCATGAACGTATGTACCTCCCATCTTATCCCGCTCACGCTCACGCTCCCCCACTAACCACCCCCCATGCAGATCGTCGAATGGGCATTTGGCAAGCGCATGACGCCTGCGGAGCGACTGCGCAAACACCAGCGGTCGCTGGAAAAAACACAACGGGAGCTCGATCGCGAGCGCACGAAGTTGGAGAATCAGGAAAAGAAATTGATTCAGGAGATTAAAAAGAGTGCGAAGAATGGACAGATGGGGGCGGCGAAGATTCAGGCAAAGGATTTGGTGAGGACTAGGAGATATGTGGAGAAGTTTTATAGTATGAGGACGCAGTTGCAGGCGATTAGTTTGAGGATACAGGTATGTGGTTTTTTTGTTTTTGTTTTTTGGGTTGGGAGGAGGGCTTGGAGAGGAGGGGGAAAGGATGGGTTGGGGGAGAGGGAGAGGGAGAGGGGAGAGAGTGATTGAGAGAGTGTGTGTACTAATTTACTGAAATAGACTGTACGAACAAATGAACAAATGATGCAAGCCATGAAAGGCGCAACCGGCGTTCTAGGCAGCATGAACCGCAGCATGAATCTCCCCGCGCTCCAAAGAATCGCGATGGAATTCGAAAAGGAAAATGATATTATGGATCAGCGACAAGAAATGATGGATGATGCGATTGATGATGTCACGGGACTGGAAGATGAGGAGGAGGGCGAAGAAGTTGTCGAACAGGTTTTGGAGGAAATCGGAATCGATTTGAAAGCGGCGATGGGGGAGACACCCCAGGGATTGCAGAGTCAGACGGTGGCGGAAGGGAGGGTTGCTCAGGCCGTTGGCGGTGGTGGGGGTGTTGGGGCGGCGGATCCGGGAGATGATGATTTGCAGGCGAGATTGGATAGTTTGAGGAGGGATTGAGTGGGGTTTGGATTGAGCTATTGATTTATTGATTAGGGGGGAAGGGATGAAGGGAGGGGTGGGAATTTATTGAATGAGGTCACATCACATGCAAATCCATTTCTGCAAAAGAGAATGATCATCTGTCGCTATGGAAATCACTATGGAAATCGAAATGGACAGATGAAATATCTAGTGGAAAGAGTATATTCTGTTTGTCGATCCATACTCTACACTCATAGGTTTTCATCGGCGTTACTCGCAGAATTGTGGAAGGCGTTTCTTAGGGGTTGTGGTTTGGGTCTGTCTGGGCTGGTCTGGTCTGGTAGGATGGATTTGCAGATTTTTTTTCTTCGCTCATGATCGTCTTTCTATCTGACTGACTGGATGACTGACTGACTGTCTTTTTCAATGCGTCAAGGGAAGGTGGTATGAGGATGAGTTTTAGGGGTTGAGGATAGGAGTCTTAGGATGGGAGGAGGGGCGGGTTAGCTTTTTGGCGGTAGGGGCTACTTATGAGTACATACATACATACATACATACATAGATATATTCATATATTCGTACATAGGGAATCAAAGAGATTCGTTAGAATGGGAATTGGATGTGTAGATTTTTTGGTTAAGTGGATTGATTGCTTTTGTGGGGTGAGGAGAGGGATTGAGGATGTAAGTATATTTACGTGGTAAGTAACTAGGTGGGAGAAGTAGATGTAGATGTAGGTGGTATAGATATAAAAACTCAATATAAATAAATAGATGTAATAGTGAATAATTTATGTGGTATATTGTAATGGGTTTTTGGAGATTGAGATTGAGGTTGGGGATGGAGAATTGGGGATGGGAGATGGGGATGGAGGAGATTATTGAGGAAGTGGTTGAATAGATATAGATGGATGGAGAGAGACGGAGAGAGATAGAGAGAAATATAGAAAAATATAAAGAGATATAGAGAGATATATAAAAATACAATTTTTGATTGAGTAAATCATTATATACAGAATAGAATATCTATTTACTTAATATCTCTTTGTGAACATCTAGAGAAAGAGGGAGAGGGAGAGGGAGAGGGAAAGGGGGAGGGATGTAACAAAAGTAGGGGAAAAGATGAGATGAGATAATACTTGTAGGCTGCTTATAGATTCTCACATAGAAAAAGTGCGCATCTAGATAAATCATCATCTTTATTATATTACACAGACTCACTTACCCAAATAGCTAGTAATACACAAATAAACAGATCAGATGAGTAAGTATGCAATTCATGAATTCATATTCAACAAGAATCTGGCAATCTCACAATGAGATGGTAGGAAATGAAATAGGTGTTGTCGAGGTGTTGTCGAGGTACCTAACTAACTAGCGGTAGATATATATTGGGATTCCGTACTCGGTATCTTGCAATTCCAATGGTATGGATGTATATGGTGGCACGAGATAAGTTGTACATGTATCTAGTAGTCTTACATGTATGTATGTACGTGTATCTGGCTGTATGTGTGTGTATGTATGTATGTATGTATGTGTACCTGGCCTTACCTGTACGTTTCTGGTGTAGGTTGGTTGGTAGGTAGGTAGGTATCTGTCTGTCTGTCCTCTGGGTATAGCTAGCTAGGTAGGTATACATAGACCTTGGGCTTTGAGGGTTTCTGATTGGGGCTTTTGGGATTGGGTTGGGATTGGGGTTGGGATTGGGCGTGTGATTGATGTGTGAGGATGTGTGTGGGTGTGTGTGGGTGTGGAAAATGCAACGCCACCTCGAGGATACTTGCTGGGTGTTTAGTTTGAGGATGGGAGATTGGAGATGTGTGTGTGTATGTGTGTATGTGTGTGTATGTGTGTATGTGTATGTGTGTATATCTTTTACCTTGGAGAGAGATGTGGTTGAGGAGGAGGGAGAATGTTTGTCCTGTCCTGTACTATACTGTGATCATCTATCATCTTTTCGGTATAAGAATACCTACCCCGTAGTATCTAATCTAGATGTTCCTTGTGTTATATATAAGAAATGGAAGAATTCAAGGAACCTCGGGAAGCTATGTAGTATTATAGCATTGTAGTATTTCTGAATTACCCCAGATTATTTCTCCTCTCGTTTCATTTATCCAATTCTAATAACACTTTTACTCTCTTGGATTCTTTCTTGCGGTCTGGAAGTCCCTAGTCATGATCTCTCCATGTTGCCGAATAGAGAGGGAGATCTCAAGTACGTGATCGATAGATAAATGGATTGGTATGTACATCGTAGATTGATGAATAATAGTGTCTAATGGTAATTTCCATTGAGGAATACTTGTCATACATAAAGGTTATTATATTACTGGTGTACCTAGTAGTACTTCCTCGGTTTGAAAGGGTTTCTTTGTATCAAAGTGTATTTAGACCTTGTACTTTAAACGGTATTAATACTATCGGGAATTTGTAAATTGGATTTATATTTAACGTAGTTTATCAGCATATAAGCCATATCTGTCACGGCGCCAACTACCTGTTCGTTAGTTGCCTTCGTGCCTAAGGCTCCCACAACTAGCGCACCTTACTTCTTATAAGTAGGGTCCCTTCCTTCCATAGTCCTTCTACCCTTATGGTACAATATAAGTCTTTACCCGTACCTTGACAATATCAGTATATGGGCCACTTCATTTTATATACAAAATTTATCTGTATATAACCATGCACTTTCTTTATTAGCCAATAAAATTCTTTAAAAATTTATTATATAAAACCTGATTTTTCAAATATTTTAAAAATCTAATTTCTTTTTCAAAATTCCAATTTGTATTAAAGTTATCAAAGAAAAAGAGATTTTGTAACACAAAATGTAACAATTTTGAACTAAAATAAATTATTTAAAAAAAAATCTAAATATTATAAATATTCCATTTTTATTATGATTTTTCATAAAAAAAAATTTAAAAATAATAATGTAACGTATGGGGAACTCGGATATATAGGGAACTCGGATACTTTTTCAATTATTTTATATACAATCTTATTCTATAAACCACACAATCCTCCAATTCTAATTTCAAATTATTTGAACTATTCTTTAGCTTTTTTTTTTCAATTTCTTTTTCTAATTCTTTAATTAAATATTTACATAACCATTCTTATAGCTTTTTTTTCTTTGGTTTTTTCTTTATCTTATATACCATTTTCAATATTTTTTTAATATTAAAAATAAATTAATCTTATAATTTGATTCTTTTGTTTTTAATTCTTTTTTTTCAAATTTTAATTATTTTCTAAATATTAGAGAATTGTTTTCAAAATAGAATTATCTCAGCATTTTGAGATTTTATAAGCCTAATTATTTTTTTAATATATCAATAAATTAATAATACAAAAGAACTATTATTTGCTAAAATTATATTAAAAATCTGATTTGCTTACCTTAATTCTATTCCATTTAAAGAAAAACTCCTAAATATAAATAAATCTAAATTTTAATTAAAGATTTTTATTTATAGAATAAAAAATTATTAGAATAAATTAAATAATAATAAATTGAATATTTTTTATAAAGCAAAAGATATTAAATCAACTTTTCTCCAATCAACTTTAATATTAAAAGAATTCAATACTTTTTTTCTAATATTTTGAAAAAGTTTTATTTATTTAGTTTTTTGGATTCGCTTTATATTAACTTAAGAATATTAATCGATCTCTAAAGTATAATATTATTTTATTAATTTATTATCACGGAGGGATAGCTATGTCGATTGGTCACTCTGATCATATAATAGGTATGTATAGTGATAATAAACTAGATTGACTTGAGGTATGATCATAAGAATCATATTTACCTTATATACCTTGATTAAGCAATGGAATTGTTTAATTAAGTATTAGGGTTTACAAATGAAATGGGATAAGAATTGATATAGTGATTATGGAATAGGCAATTCTAAGGAGTGCCTTGTTGAATCACGTGTTGTTGCACAGGACCGTGAATTCCGTGACATTTATATATTATAATATCAAATGATTAAAATAAGTAAAAGCAATGAAAAAATAATATAAATAAATCAATATTATTATCTATATAAAAAGCAATAAAGCTATTTATAATATAACTTAAATAACTATCCATAATTAAAAGTTGAGGTTAGTTATTTAACACTTTTTTGAATTCTGATTCGAAAATCCTTTTTAATTATTCTAATTTATAATTATTTGAAATTCATTTATTTATATTAATAAAGAATTATCAACTTTAAAATATATCCTTTAGAATTTATACAGAATTTGTATTCTGAACCTTGAAAATAATTATAGACAATAAAGTATTTCTAATTATATTAATACATTCAAATACAGTTATTCATTCTTGCTTGCTAACTATAATTTTTCAATTCGATTTTTAAATAGAATCAATTATTATACAAATACTTTGAATACTTCCAACTCCAAATCTAGTTTCATCTATATTATATATATTATTTAATTTATACTTTTATTTAATAAAATATATACGAAATATATTAAATCAAGCCTGAATATTTTCCGAAATTGTTTTTTTAGTTTAATTAAATTTTAATTAATATAAATAATATATTTTAAATTCTGAATATTGTTTTTGAAATCTATAAATTTATTTGTAACCTATAAATGGAATTTCTATTAAAATAGAATTTCGAAATAATATAATTTGAATATATCAAAGATAAATTTTATTAACTATTTTCTTTATTAATATAGGTATAGTAGGGAATCCAGTGATAATAAATTATGAAATCTATTATATAAAAGTATTTTCTTTTATATTTAAAAGAATTTGAGCTATTTCATAGATTTGGGAATATGTTTTCTTTTCAGTTAATCTATTAGTTAGGGTAAACTTAAAAATTTCAAAATGTTTTGCAGTCTTTTTAATTGATTTAAATTCTTTTAATTGAAGTGAAATTATAGTTTTTTGAAGCTTTTTTTTAATTTGAATAGATATAAAAAGTGATTAGGTATACATAATAAAAGTTATTGTGGTTTCAAGTTGGTGATGGGCTAAAAGTGTCCGAGTTCCCCATATGTCCGAGTTCCCCATACGTTACGTTAATTAATTATTAAAATATAAATATTAAAAAAACCTTGATTTTGATATATTTTCAAAGTAGCCCATATATTGATATAGCCCATATGCTGATAAATTACGTTATATTTATATTTATATTTATATTTACTTATATTCATACTGATGGACTAAATCTGTCATCCAAATCCCAGCACCGTGGTACTTTATATTATCAGAGTGGATTGCGGAGTTAATCAATGTGAAGATTATATTACCTCTCAGTATCTAAATATTAATTACCTGGTCTCTAGTATGTCGGGTCTACATAATACCCAATTACCCAAATACCCCACGAACCGACCGCAAAAACGATGTCATGGGAGAGGAAATGGTGATCCAAGCTAATTAACTCCCAGTCAGTCTTAACTCAACTCAAGTCAACTCAACTTAACTCAACCCAGGAACAAGAACAAGAACAAGAACAAGAACAAGAACCAAAACCAAAACCAAAACCAAAACTCAGTCATATCCAATTCAATTCAATTCAATTTAACCTCAACTCATCTTCTATTGTACTTCTCATCCTGATCAAATTTCATCCCCAATATTGAAATCTTACGAATCATTCTACTATTCATTGTCTGATCATATTACAAAAGTCAACTACTACCCAGGTACATCTCGAGGGGCAGAGCAAACAAGCAAAGCAACCTAACAAACAAATCAGAGCAGGAACGATAAATTCACACAACAAACGAACCTTCTTCCTTCCTTCGATAACAACCGTCCGTCTCTCTACGAGACACTTTTACTTAAATCAAACAAACTGGCAGGAAATAAGAGGAGGAGCTTTTCCTCCCAAGGAGGTCTGCTCAACAGAATGTTTGGCAGCTCAAGTTCCCCACCAAAAGATTCATCCTTAGCTCCCACCACCACTCCTCCCACCTCCTCCGAATCTAGCGCCGACTCATCAACAGGTCCCAATAATCAACGCGATGCATCAACCGCTTTGAGAGCTCTCGATGGCGAGACTGGCACATCGGAAAAACGTAGCGGGAATGGTAGTCCCCCAGGTCGCGCAATTCCCGGCGATGGGTCTGGAGAGAAGAAACGCCGGAGTAGCGGGGTCGGCGGTAAAGCCAGCTCGTTTCTGGCCAGTGCGAAAAATTCATTGCACTTCAGTCAGAGTCCTAATTCTTCTGGATTCATGTCTGGTGGTCGATCCAACGATGTAGTACAAACGCCCTTGCAAAAGTTGGGAAAGCAAGACCCGGCCTTGACGGTTCCTCAAGGTCAGCATAATAACTCGGCGGGAGAATCTCGTCCGGGTCCTAGATCGACATTCAAAGTCGGCGTGTGGGAAGATAAAAATAAGAAATGTCGTCGAACGATGGAGGATACTCATGCTTTTCTGTACAACTTCTTACATACACCTGCACCTGTCGTGGGTGCCGATTCAAGCTCCAAGTCGGAAAAGTCAGATAAAGTCGCAAGTGATTCATCAGATAGTCTTGCTCGGCCGGTCTCCGCACAGTCCATGATGGAGACAGACAATGGTTATTTCGCAATCTTCGATGGTCATGCAGGTACATTCGCTGCAGATTGGTGTGGAAAGAAATTACATCTCATTTTGGAAGAGACTATACGAAAGAATCCGAATACGCCAATCCCCGAACTTCTCGACCAAACCTTCACAACTGTCGATGCGCAGTTGGAGAAATTACCTTTGAAAAACAGTGGTTGTACTGCCGTCACAGCAGTTCTTCGTTGGGAGGATAGGATACCAAACGCTTCATCTGCCACGGGTTCTACGGCCATTGCACCTGCGACCGCTGCTGCCGTTAAAGCTGCTGAAGAAACACCAAAGACTGAAGACGGCGGCGCAGATTCGAAATCCACATCACAACAGTCAAAGGCCGTTCTGAATGCCCCTACTGGAGATGTTCAGGCAAAACTCAAAAGCACTTCTTCTCGTGCTCGAGTATTATACACAGCTAATGTTGGAGATGCACGCATCGTATTGTGCCGCAATGGCAAAGCTTTACGTCTATCTTATGATCATAAGGGTAGTGATGAGAATGAGGGAAAACGCGTTGCAAATGCAGGTGGCTTAATCCTCAATAATCGTGTCAATGGTGTTTTGGCAGTTACTCGTGCATTGGGAGATGCGTATATGAAGGATTTGGTTACAGGTCATCCATATACTACTGAGACTGTTATACAACCTGATAGTGATGAATTCATTATCTTGGCTTGTGATGGCGTAAGTATCTTTTCACTTGTTTGTGAAGAATTCTACTAATCGAATCATATAGTTATGGGATGTTTGTTCAGATCAAGAAGCAGTTGACCTCGTTCGTCATCAACAAGATCCGGTTGCCGCAGCTAAACAACTTGTCGAATATGCCCTGGCTCGTTTCAGTACCGATAATTTGTCTTGTATGATTGTTCGATTTAACCGACCACTCCTTGTTGCAACGGCAAAAGATTCTCATGCAGCTATTGGCGTTGAAGGTGATGGTAATATGGGATTTGGTACACTCTCCGAGGCAGATAAAATTGTTTCAGAATCACAGCAAAAAGTTAAAGATGGAGCATCAAATCTTGGTGTTAGTGGTAGCAATAGTGGTGCAGGACATGATCCTAAATTGGATGGAGCCGTAGAGGATGATGAAGATGAAGAGAAACCTCGGATGGAGAGTGTAGTTGAAGAGGAACCTCAGCCTATCGAGGGTGATTCATCGGCTCCGGAAATAAATTTGAATGCTGTGGAGAAGGCGAAAGCGGAGGAGACGGCTGCAAATTTGCATTTACCGGCTGGAGCTGAGAAGTAATGTTCTTTACTCGTGTATATTTTGAGTGGGAGGGGTAGTGCGGGGAGCGGGTTTTTCTTTTCTTTGCAGTTTGCTGAGTGATTATTTGGGTTTATCTTGGGAGGTTGTGAGGGGTGTGGAAGGGGTGGCCTTGAATGAATGGATGGATGGATGATGGCTTGATGAGGTTTATCAGAGTTATGGGTCTGTGAAATGGGTAGAGGCATTTGGGGAAAGACGGATGAATGGATGAAAGAAGTTTTTTTTTAAACCGATGAGTGGGTGCTATGAATATGAAATTTGGGGGGTGGGCGGGGCGGGGATGGGGTAGGGAGTGGAGGGACACGGGCATATTAAATTACGCGAAGTACGTACCTAACCTAAGCAATGATACGCAGCGTAGGGTAGGGTAGGGTAACGTACCGTATAGTACAATGTATGAATGTTTATGCATGTATGTATGTATGTATGTATGTATGTATAATGTGACTTGAATTGGAATTCCATTGAATGGATTTCATTTTTTTTGGTGCGTGTGCGTGTGTGTGTATGTGTATGTGTATGTATCTCCATATTTTCTTGCTTTGTAACTGATGATGGAAATGCAAAACAAATTTGTAGATTGTGAATGAGGAGGAGGAGAAGGAGGAGGAGGGAGGATAAAGAAGAAAAGTTAAAGTTAAAGTTGCGCAATGATACGATACAATTCGAATACGCTCACTCTAAATCTGCATTTGTATCTGAATCTGCATCTCATTTTCACAATTAAATAATATCAAATATGAAACTTCAAATATCAAATATCAAACATCAAAAAGCATAAAAACCAACTCGTATTTCCTGTTAGGTATCCCTTTCTCCCCTATTCTCCACAAGCGAGATATATCTACTATGCTAGGTGCGTGCTTCGAGTGTGCTCGGTTCTGAATCGCTCCGTTTTGCTTTTCCTATTCCTATTCATATCTCCTATCTCCTATTCCTAGGTATTCCCAACAGCATATATAAATGTAAATGCAAGTGCGTACGTGTTTAGCGCATTCGCTTCCTCCTGCCCCCTACCACTTCTCCTCTATCAATAACATATTCCCTCCCAACCAACCAGCGCGTATAAGAAGCAATTAACTCCACCCCACTCCATTTCTCAATTGACTTTGAATCCCTCCAGGTATACGCCTATCACCATTTACCCTTACATGCAAACTAATTTCTTTTCCCCCTGATTTGTTCCCTCGAAAATATGTACCCAGATCATTTGTCGTTTATTATCCATTATCGTAACCGTACAAAAGTGATGAATCAAACCATTAGACATATCATATGGTCGCCCATAGAGAATCCTTCTTCGCTAAAATGCAGAAATTTTGCCATGGCCAAATCAATTCGTCTTGATTGATCATCTCTTTTGAGAATAAATCTAAAGAGCAGAATGCGGTGTCGAGTGAGCTGTTGTTGGTGTTTCATTATAATCTAGATTGCTAGATCCAGTAGCTAGCCTGATTGTATTTGTTCTCCCCGCACCACCATCAAAAATGAATGGCCCTACATCATTTCTCGGTGTCATTGGTCCTTCACCCGTGAGAGGATCTGCTAATGCATGATGCATCCCATTTGGACTCGGTGAACCGCGCTCAGAACGAGAAGTAGAGGCGGCACTAGGGACTGGTTTTCTTGCGATTATGTCGAGAGGTGATACTGTAGAACTCAAGTTGGTTTGAGGAACCGGCGTGGCTGAAGCCGAGCTGGCTTGCGAATCGCTTACGTTAAGAAAAGCTATATCTTCGAGTCTAGTTTCGTGGGCGTGAGCACCTGTACTAGAATCATCACTGGTGTCGAGATCATCTTCGATATGATTCAAATTCAAGGGTTCAAAGGCTTCAGGCTCTGGTAGAATTGGTGCGGCTGTGGGGTCACTCGTCCGTGGTATAACCGTTTCCTGGGTTGTTGGCTCGGTTCCAGGGGGATTGTTTGTATTTGTTACGGGCTCTGAAATTGCTTCCACCTCAGCCTCCGCATCAGATGTGGCCAATTCCTCCCAATCTCCATCTGGTTCATCAAGCTCTGCCTCGAGATCTGCGACTGTACGACAATTTGGACAAATAAAATGAGGCCAAGCAGGACCATTGATAACAACTCGGATACATTTGTAATGCCATGTATGAGAACATGGTGCAACGAATAAAGATTGACAGGGCTTGCATATGTAAGTTTAGGGCTGTCAGGTAGGAGAATGGGTCTTGACTTACGGCTATAGGTCCAAGACAAATCGAGCAATCTTGCGAGGAACTACTCGAACCACCGGAGGCTTGTTTCTTGAGATTGTTATTGAGCTCGCGTAAGCGCTTATGGGATTGCACACTAGGAAAAAGATTAGCAAGCACACTGAATTCACCATCGAACGAGTAGACATACTTGAAACTGCTAGGACCAGTTTGCCATCCTTTGTTGAGTTCCACTCGTATCTTGACGCATCTAAATATCATTTCCTCACCACCTTTGAAATCTATACCTAATTGGACTATATCGCCATCGTTTACCGGGAAAGGTTTTGATTCCGTTCCAGGTGAACTTAATCGTATGTGATTGAGAAATGTGCCCGACGAACTTTTCACATCCTTGATAAACCAACGACCTCCCGTGCACCAAAATTCACAATGACGTCTGCTAACCACTTTTGACTTGAATCCAACTGGTGCAAACGATGGCACATTCGTAGCATGAGGGGGTTGATTATCTCTTTCGGAATATCGACCAACTTTTATAATTTCCTTTCCTGTCGGGAGCGTTCGACTCATGGTACCAAATACGAGAGATGGACGATGAGCTCGAGGATCTTGATGCGGAGAGAAACGAATCGATGGTAATTGATGTGACATGGTTTCTCTGGCGGATTGGGAACTGTTTTCTCCCAAGTCATTCAATAAAGGCATATCTGCTGCCGCTCCTGTTCCTGCAGATCTAGTTCTTGCCATCGACGCCTCAAGACCCGAGGTTATCGCAGATGAGTCGTTGGCCGATAAGACGGCTGAAGAGGAGGCAGTCGCAGTAGGTTGTGGCTGAGTTGCAATTCTTGATACTCCGCTGTGACCTCCCACTGTCGGTAACCACCCACTTGTCGATCCAAGATTTTCTGGATTATTCGAACCTACAGACGTTAATTCGGGGGGATTTGTGGATCTTCGTGCAGTGGGTGAAATTTGTCGAGGAAGAATTTCGGTTGTAGGAGTTGCAGGCGTTGCAGGCGAGGCTGCAGAAGAGGCGTGAGAGGGTGCGCTCGCTGACGTGGGGGATGAAGGTGACGGATAACTTGAGGTATGTGAGAGTGTGGGTCGTGGATTTTGATGATTAGTATTTGAATTTGAATTTGAATTCGAATTTGAATTCGAGTTCGAGTTCGAGGAATTGTGATTATGATGTTCCCTCGATAACAAATGATTTTGTGTGTAACTTCGCAAATAGCTTAAACCTCTGAGACGACCTCTGGTTGATGATGTGGTGGTGGGAGATGTTGGGGTTGTAGTTGGTTGTGGGGAGATTGGTGAGACGGTTTGTGGTGCACTTCTTTCTCGTACAATGGGTGATGATATTGAAGTGGTTGGGTTCCAGGGCGAACTAGGGAGCGATGAATACATGGAGAGAGAATTTGAAGAACGAGGATTAAGTTAATCCTCGACTTTTCTTATTCTTGAAGGGGAGAGGGAGAGAGAGAGAGAGGTGAATGAATATGTTGATTGAAAAACAATAGATAACAAAGTTATAAAGAATGAGAATTTGTATTGGGATTTGTTATATTTGTTGTATTTGAATATAACAAAGGAGAATCGAATTCAAGACAAGTGATGATTAAATAAAAGAAGAAAAAAACCCCTTGAATAAATTAACTAGTACGAGAGATTATGTATGAAGAGGTGGTGGTAGGTAGGTAGGTCGGTCGATGTATGGTATGGTATGGTATGGTTTGGTATGGTCTCGAGATGGTGTGTGTAATATAAGGTATGTAAGGTATGTACCTGGTAGTCCCGTACTATCACTACACTATATGGTAGTCAAAGTGTTGTTGATATTGAATTTGGATGGATTGATTGGATTGGATTGAATTCGAGTCTGTTCTTGATGGGATTTTGGGACAAGAGAAGTCAAGTGGCTTGTCGTGCTGTGCGTTAACTTGACATCTAGATTGAACGTGTGGTATGATACGAGGATGGATAGATTGCAGGAGGAGGAGGAGGAGGAGGAGGAGGAGGAGGAGCAGCAGTATTATAGTAGTATAAGTGAGTATTAAACCGTAGTATCAGTACAGTATAGTTTCTGGGGTAGATAAATAGATTTTGAAGAAAGAAGAGAAGAGAAGAGAAAAAAAGAATTTGAATGGAGATGCGGTGTGTTGACGTTGAAATATGTGAATATGTATATGTATGTATATGTATATGTGTGAAATAGAGTGTAAGATGTTATTATGTATGTACAAGTACTAAATCGGTATGTATATGTATTTAAGGATGTGTGTATGGATGTCTAGATCTTTTATCCAAAACCTTAACAAGAATAAGAATGCGAATAGACGGTCGAAGAGATCTTGATGTTGATCTTGATGTTGATGTTGGTTGTATGGTGGTTGTTGGGGAGGATCTCAGGGTAGTATTGCATTTGCATCTAGGTGGGTAAAATTAAACTATGTATGAAGTATAGTCATCGTATTTCTAGGTTGAAGAATTTTGGTATACGGAGTGGTAGTCGTACGAGATGATAATGATTATTATTATTATTATTATTATTATTATTATAACATTCATATAGCATTCATATGTATATATATATATATATATATATATATATCACTTGTATCTATCTACTCGAGTATATAAACATATGTCAGATATATACACTATACACACACACACACACATATCCTTCCTATGATTATATCTATCTATCTACCTACGTCCGTATGCATACTCACTCGTAATGGCCATCATACATGGTCAATAATCTCGGTCGATGTCTATCAGGCCATGGATAACAAATCATCATTCATTCCACTGCATCATCATATCATACGGATCAAGATGGATCGAGAGAAAAGATACGCGATCAGTCAGAATGGCACGAGTGCAATATACATGATATAAAAAATGGCCGGAAACAGGGCTGGATTTGGTAACGACAGTCCCTTTTCACAGCCATGGTATTGCCCACGATAGATTACATTGTACAGACCTGGGTTGGTAGTGGATCCATACACATTTCTTCCTGACGATGTGTATATACTATTATACTAGAGGTAAAATAGATAAAATAGGTAAAATCAACCAGAAATTATAAAGAGGTCTCCATATAACGTATCAATACTTTCGCACTCTGACATCTAACTTTCCCACTTCACTCCAACTTGACCTCAACAACTTAATTTCACTCCCACTCCTCCTTGATAACCGCAATAAAAAAAGATCAAAAAATGCTTGGACCGTTAAATCGCATGGTTCTAATCAATCCTGGCTCGCCTGATAGTAGTCCATCCCGTCTATCCTGGTTTAGTCGCTGATTCAACGCCTCTGGTAAAGAAAAAAAGCGGGAAACATATGGCACGTGAACAATGCCTGAATACGGCACAGCACAACACACACACACCTGGGCAGTTCCAAGTTGCGCTTCTAGCCGTGCTCCGTGCAGGTGGACAGCTGCAACCTTGGATGCCGGTCCTGTCCTGTCTCGCCTGCATTGTTATCATTATTATTGCCTGAGGCTACAAGTGGCTGCCTCGGCTTCAATCTTGCTATCACGATATCACGATATCACGGTATCACGGTATCACGGACGGTATCACCACTATCACTGATGGGATGCTGATCACGTAAGCCCCATCAATCAAAAGAACGCCCCCCCGCCATCAGCCGGTAAATACCGAACTCAAGTTTTTTTGGGAAGATCCGTACTAAGCAATCATGATTGATGTAACCGCTACGCATCTTTCGCGGCGACGAAGTCAATTTCTACCTTCAACTTACGACAATTACTACCAATAATATTCATTATGCTAAGAAATCCTTCAACGAGGATTTTGAGGAGGGCTATTTCGTCTCAAAGACCTATTTTCAATGTTTTACCTGCTCTCCGCTCAAGAAATTTAGCTACTGTAGTGGAACCTATACAAAAGGTACAAATGAAGTCCAAATTTCTACTCCTCTTCACCACGACTAACTTGAGACACATATAGGACCCTGCCGAGTTAGATCAAATCACCACCCTTCCCAATGGAGTGCGAGTCGCAACTGAAGCTTTGCCCGGTCACTTTTCCGGCATTGGAGTATACATCGATGCAGGGTCCAGATACGAAAATGAAGATCTCAGAGGGGTTAGTCACATAATGGATAGATTGGCATTCAAGTCTACGTCAAAGAGATCAAGCGATGAGATGTTAGAATCAATAGAGTCACTGGGCGGAAATATACAATGCGCCTCATCAAGAGAATCTTTGATGTATCAATCTGCCACATTCAACTCTGCGGTCCCCACTACTGTCGCCCTTCTCGCCGAGACAATTCGGAATCCTTTAATCACTGAGGAGGAGGTATCACAGCAATTGGTGACTGCTGAATATGAGATTGGCGAGATATGGTCCAAACCCGAGTTGATTCTTCCGGAAATCGTACACATGGTTGCATACAAGGGAAACACTCTTGGGAATCCTCTATTGTGCCCGAAAGAACGACTGTCCGAAATCAACAGCAACACCATACAACAATACCGAGATACTTTCTATAGACCTGAAAGAATGGTTGTAGCATTTGCGGGGGTACAACATGAAGAAGCAGTCAAACTCGCCGAACAACATTTTGGAGATATGCCAAAATCAGCTCCCATTTTATCACAAACAGGATCGGAAACGTCTCTTGATTCGTTATCAGGTGAGACTAGCAGCGACAGCTCTATATCATCATCTTCCTCATCAACACCACCTTCACCAACACAAAAGCCATCCACCTTAATATCACGCATGCCATTTTTCAAGAACATCTCCACTTCCGCACCCAAAAATGCCTCGGTTCAGAATGGTTTCCTAAACCCCCTTAATCTTAACGAACCTTCACGCTATACAGGTGGATTCCTTGCCCTCCCAACTCTTCCACCGCCTGTGAACCCTGCCCTTCCCGCACTAAGCCATATCCATATCGCATTCGAAGCTCTTCCCATTTCTTCCCCCGATATCTACGCCCTCGCTACTCTTCAAACGCTTCTTGGCGGTGGCGGGTCCTTCTCTGCTGGCGGCCCTGGCAAGGGCATGTATTCTCGTCTTTATACCAACGTTTTAAATCAACACGGTTGGGTCGAATCATGCATGGCTTTCAACCACTCTTACACCGACTCTGGGCTTTTTGGAATCTCATCCTCATGTTCCCCAGGCTACGTTAAGAATATGCTTGATGTCATGTGCCGTGAACTTCAAAGTCTCACTCTCGATTCTGGATTCAGTGCATTACAAACTGCAGAAGTTAATCGTGCGAAGAATCAGCTGAGATCAAGTTTATTGATGAACTTGGAATCAAGGATGGTAGAACTAGAAGATTTGGGAAGACAAGTACAAGTACACGGAAGAAAGGTTGGAGTCAGAGAAATGTGCAAGAAAATCGAAGAATTGACCGTCAAAGATCTTAGAAGAGTAGCTACACAAGTCTTTGGAGGTCTGGTGAAAAATGCAGGAGAAGGAAGTGGTAGCCCAACCGTGGTCTTACAAGAAGGCGAAGAAGAAGGAAGAGTATACAAAAATTTCAGCTGGGATGATATTCAAGATCGGATTCATGGGTGGAAATTGGGGAGTTGGTAAAAAGAGTAATAAAAGAGGAAAAGAAAGTACATTTTATCGTGTGTATCGGGTGAAGAATAGGATCTCTTCTCGATGTAAGTTGGGGTGCTTTTTTTGTATGATATTGATGGGTGATGTGATGATTTAAAAGGCATTTAAATGCGTGTGTGTGCATATGCGGCGTTTTTTGTGTTGCTTTTCTTTTCGATCGGTTACTAGGTTCTTGGGAAGAGAAGAGGGGAGGAAGGAAGGATGATAGTCGAATAGTAAAAAGTAAATGGGAGATGGAAAAATGGAAAATGAGAAATGAGAAATCTCTTCTGAGATGTCTTTTTGATAGTTGTAGAATGCCTGACGGATGGAGAGATCTGTGGGAAGAAGGGATAGGAGGAAGAAGAGGGAGAGGATGGGGATGATGAAGAAGAAGAAGAAGAAGAAGAAGAAGAAGAAGAAGAGGATGGGGATGAAGAAACACTCTCAATCAATCAATCAATGTAGAAATAGAATAAGCATATAAAGGAATAAATACAATCAATACCTACGTGGATCCCTGTTAAAATTCGCTTCGAATTTGCAATTGGACTTGGAATTTGGATTTGGAATTTGTGGGGATGTATGGGTGATTGTGGATGTATGGATGGAAGTTAGGTATGGGATGTATGGATGGAAGTTATGGGTTTGATGAGGGGGGTGAGTATGAGAATGTGAATAGAATATAAATGGGATGTGGATATAGATATAGATATAGATATAGAGAAAAATGTAAATATCGATTCTAGTATTTCTTTTGATGAGGGCTTATATATTTATGTAGGATTTGGGATTTGGGATTTGGGATTTAGAAGTTGAGAGAGGAGAGAGGGGATGGGAGATGGATGCTCTATTTATTTCGTATTTATTTTGCTTTTTGTATTTTGTATTTTCTTCCTCTCTCTGAAGTTTCTTCTTCTTCTTCTTCTTCTTCTTCTCTTCTATCTTACGTTTCTTTTCCTTAATCTTTTTCTTAATCTTAACTTAATCTTAAGTAAATCATAAAGAAGAGATATTCGTTAAGTTTATAGATTGATAAGTTTATAAGTTTATAAGTCTATTCGTTATTCAGTTAATTGATTTTTGAGTCGGTTTGTTGGGTCATGTCATTGTTTCTTTGTTGTTAGTTTGGAAATAGATTCGAAGTAGATTGGAAGGAGGGTGAAAGTAGGGTGGGTGGAAATAGATTGGGAGTATTGCTCGCTCGCTCGCTTATTGGGGTTAGTCGAGTTTAGTAGGTGGGTAGTTGTGTAGTTGTGTGGTTGTGTGGTTGTGTAGGTGGGTAGTTGTGTGGTTGTGTGGTTGTGTAGGTGGGTAGTTGTGTAGTTGTGTATTCTTTGAGGGTGGTTGGGATGAGATGGTATGGGGATAGGATGGGGATAGAAATTGGATCGGGATAGGATTGGAATTATATTTGAAATTATTGTGTAGTGAATTGTATATGAATAATATATAATACAATTTATTTGCGGAATTGAGGGTCCTCAGATACCTATTCAGATACTTAGATACTTTTATATATCTACTTACTCACTTACTCACTTCATCTTGATCTTGATATAACTCTTTGTATGATTATAATGAAGAAATACAAGGAAAAGAGAAGAAAAGGTATCTATGTGTCTATGTACTAGGTAGGTGTAGGTGAAAGATAGAGATGAGAGATTTTGACTATATATTTATTTATTCGATATATTCTAGGATATTTAGAATAGAATAGTTGGGATGATTGTTGTGGTACAAGATATATAATTTGTGAGAAGTGAGAAGAGAGGGTGCTAGAATCTAGATCTAGATTTAGATATGTGAGAATTGAATAGGGGGAGGGGAGGGTTGTAATGTATTATATTTATTAGGTAGGGAGTCATTAGATAGATACGTAGCTGTCTATATATGCTCACTCGGTACCTCGCACGAGTATAGAGTTGCAGGGGGTGTCTCGCTTATGTACTAATGTGATGTTGTATTTTGTTGGAACTTGGAGGAAGCTTATTGGATGCTGATGTGATGATGTGATATGGTGAAATTTGATACATTAGATTATCTTGGGGGAAATAGTAAATACAGAGGTATTTTAGGCTATTATCTGTGATGAGAGTAAGGTTTTTGAGATATTTATAAACGCTGGTGATGGGGTGGGGAGGGGAAAGGAAAAGTTGGGTGCCTGCTGAAATTTGGTTGCCTGTTTGTATTGTTTTATCGCTGATGACGCATTTTGGGCTTGGGTTGGAGATGGAGATGAAGGTAGATGGATTATTTTGTGTGGTGTGGTTGGTGAGGATTCTTCTGCCTGTAAAAAAGGCACCGGTGTTTTGTCTTGAATTCTGGTACTGAGAAGCACGGGGGAGGGGATTGAAGACAGATGGATTTTTGTAGAGTTGATGAGAGATGAAGGCATCGGTTTTTCTGTCTTGGTCTCTAGTTTCTAGATGGCGCAAGTAGAGGAAAAGATGAGGTGATTCGTAGGTAACTTGCTTTTGAAGACGTCGTGTGCATGCTTTTGGCGTTGTGATTTTTTAGAAGAGGATATATATGAGTCTCCTGCTGCAATCTATTCATTTCGTTTCTCAATACTCATCGATAATAGTCTCCACACGAGAAGATCAGGATTGAATCCTCGGATAGTCAATGATACCAAATAGCTTAGCTGCTCGAAAGCATACTTCCTCACCATGGGAATTTATTCAGATATACCTCTCGAACTGAGAGGATTCAACGAAACTAGTCTTGTGGACGACGATAATTTCGGACCTTTCTACAAGGTTCCCGGGAAATCAACATTCGATTTCACACTCCTCTTTGAAGAAACCGTACTCTCGATCATACCTTCGGTGTTCTTGTTAATCTTGATACCACCGCGAATTCAACACCTATGGAAATCCCCACGAAAAGTAATCAGAAGCCATCTTCTCACTAGCAAAATCGTAAGTTTCACGTATCCTGGTCCATCAAACCTTCCCTAACGAAATAGATCCTCCTCTCCATCTTCAGTATCCTCCAAGTCGTAAACATAATCGCAATCTTCCACTCCCCCCTTAAAAAATGTGCCTCGCTACCCGCAGCTCTCCTCGCATTCACGGCCACCCTTGGTTTGTGCATTCTATCGTATTTTGAACATAGCAGAAATATTCGTCCCAGCTCAATTATTAACGCATATCTCTTTTTCACGTTACCTTTCGATGCCGCACAGTTGCGAACGAGATGGCTACGCGGAGATGATGTAGCGGGAAACGCGATTTCGACGTCTATTTTGGGAGTTAAATTCCTGCATTTAATTTTGGAGGCGAAGGGGAAAAAGAAGATCCTTTTCCCAAGATATGATTATCTCTCACCAGAAACTACGAGTGGATTATTTGCGAGAAGTCTGTTTTGGTGGTTGATTCCGCTTTTCAGATTGGGGTTTGAAGGAGTGGTAAGAGATGAGGATTTATTCGTGGCGGATGAAGAGTTATTGTCGGATGCTTGTGAGGATAGGTTGAGAAAATATTGGGGACATCGTCTGAAATCCACTTCTTGTAATTGTTTCGTCAGAGAATGCTAATATATGTTTATGTACGAAATACCCTCAACATCACACTTTGATGTGGGTAATGCTACGAGCAATGTTGAGACCACTGACTGCATCCATTCCTTCACGTCTAGCATTAACATTCTTCCGCTTTATGCAACCCTTCCTCATCAACAAGATCATCTCTCTCGTTAGTGATCCCGAGTCCAAATCACCCAACATTGGCTGGGGTCTAATCGCCGCTTCCGGACTCATTTATATCGGTTTAGCCCTCACAGCAAGCGCATCTCAACACAAAGCCAACCGCATGACAACCATGGTACGAGGCTCTCTCATCAGCGCCATTTATTCCCACACCCTCGAACTCTCCCTAACAAATCTCGACCAATCCACTGCAGTGACCCTCATGTCTTCAGATGTCGAACGTATATGTGTCGCCTTACAACCGATCCATAATCTCTGGGCTAGTCCCCTCGAGATAGCACTAGCGATATGGTTACTACAGAGAGAAATCGGGATTTCGCTTTTAGGTCCATTGTTTGTAACAATCGTAGCAGTTTCGGGTCCGTTTTTCATGGCGAAATATATGGGCGCTGCGCAAAAGATTTGGATGGATAGGATTCAGATGAGGATCGATACGTCGGTGAAAATGCTGCAATCTATAAGGGGCGTCAAGATGTTAGGTCTCAATGAGAAAATATCGAGTCTGATTTCTCAACTTAGAGAAACGGAGATCAGACATTCTCTGAAAATGAGGAGGTTGTTCGTGGTTATGATTGCTTTTGGTAAAATGTCTGATATTTTTACACCCGGTGCGGCCTTTATCATATATGTTATTGTGGCATCGGTGAATGGGAAAGTTCTGGATGTTTCATCGGCATTCACTGCGTTGTCGCTTATTGCATTGCTAGTTGCGCCTATTCGAGCAATTGTGTTTGCGGCTCCGCCTCTTATTGCTGCGGTAGGATGTCTAGATCGGATTGAGGATTTTCTTACTTCGGCTACGAAGAAAGATCATCGTCTTGTATTACCGCGAGTGCAAGACTTATCAATTGGTCGTGCCAGGCCTGGGATATTGTCTAGAGATGTATCTGCGGGCTCTGAGATTGAGCTTGAGAATATGACAGCACGAGAAGATAGTTCTGAATCACCGATAACGATTGCTGTCAAAAATCTATCTCTCGCTTGGTCGACTGAGTCCCCTCCAGTCGTTACTGATGTGTCGTTTTCCGTTTAACCCGCCACCCTAACAATGATCATCGGACCAATTGGCAGCGGGAAATCTAGTCTTCTGAAAGGTCTTTTAGCAGAAATTCTCTCGATAAAAGGAAATTATCATATCAACCACTCTGAAGTTGCATTTGTGGATCAAACCTCTTGGATCCAAAGTTGTAGTATTAGAAATAATATTGTCGGGACTAGCGACTATGAATCTGCGTGGTATCAAAGAGTCATGCATGTTTGTGCTTTGGAGAACGACATTGAAGGAATGATAGAGGGAGATGATACTATCGCGGGATCTGGAGGAGCTGCACTTTCGGGAGGCCAGAAACTGAGGATTGTATGTTTGTTTGAGTTTCTCACCGGTATGATTATGTTTAGAAACTGATATTGATAGGCACTTGCTAGAGCAGTTTACTCTCGTCATAAAGTTTTGATGTTGGATGATGTATTTAGTGGTCTGGATATCGTTAGTGAAGAACAGATCTTTACTCGCTTACTCGGTAGACACGGATTACTTCGTCAATTGGGTATTACGACTATACTAGTTACTCATGCAGCACATCGTTTATCATATGCGGATCATATCATCGCTTTGAGTGTTCATGGTACAGTCGCCGAACAAGGAACGTTTTATGATCTAACTAGGAAGAATGGATATGTGTCTAGTCTTGCAACGAAACATGTGATAGAGACAGACACTTCCAAAGAGTCTGAATCTGTGGATATGAAAGATAATGACGATACAGCGAGAGAAATTTCAAGTGCGGACCTCGAGCGTCCGATTGGGAACTGGGCGACGTACCGATATTATTTCGAGAGTTTAGGATGGTGGAATATGGGAATGTGGATGGGGATAATGGTTTTTTATTCTTTACTTTTGCAGTTTCCTAGTAAGTTGAGCTACTTCTATTCAACCTTGAGCTTGTGTGTATAAATACTAAAGTTTCAGAACTCTGGATTAAATTCTGGACAGGTGCTATAGCCATTCATGGAAATTCAATCAATGGTTTCTACCTTGGTATACTCATAGCTGTCGAAGTAACCTCCATGTTTCTACTCATGATCCTCACCAGCACACTTCTCCTGAAAATGATCCCCCGATCAGCCACGATATTACGCACCGCACTTCTCACCACCATCTCCAACGCTCCTCTATACTTCCTCACCAAAACAGGCACGGGATCAATCATCAACCGCTTGAGTCACGACCTCTCAGTCCTCGACTCCGAACTCCCCCTTGCCTTTCTAATCGTCATCAACAACATTCTCACATCCCTCATCCAAGCCTTCCTCATCTGCATCTCCGCCTCCTATTTCTCTCTCGCACTCCCTTTTATCCTCCTGCTAATCTACCTCCTCCAAAAATAATATCTCCGCACCTCCCGACAGATCCGCCTCATGGATCTCTCATCCAAAGCACCCCTCCACACGCATTTTCTCGATACCCTCAGTGGACTCCCCACCATCCGCGCATTCGGGTTTCACACCGCCATGCAACAACGCCATACAAAGCTCCTAGATAATTCCCAAAAGCCCTTTTATTTACTATATTGCATCCAAGTATGGCTGATGCTTGTCATCGATCTCTTAGTTGCCGCTCTGGCGATTCTGCTCGTCACGCTAGTGGTGAAATTGAGATATACAGCTGATGCGGGATTGGTAGGTTTGGCGTTGGTGAATATTATGGGATTTAATACTACGCTGTCGGCGGTTGTTATTCATTGGACGGCAACGGAAACAAGTGTAGGGGCGGTTGAGAGAATCAGATCATTTGTGCGTGAGACTCCGGATGAAAATCGAAAAGAAGATGAGAATTTTGAAGAGGGAGAAAGAGAGGCAAAAATAGAGGTACCGGAAGATTGGCCTAGTAGAGGCGCGATTCGAGTTCAAAATATAATAGCATCGTATTCTAAAAACCAGGAACCATGCTTACGAAACATCGATCTTGACATTCCCGCAGGTCAAAAGATCAGTATTTGCGGTGCATCCGGCGCGGGAAAATCATCTTTTATCGCACTACTTCTGCATATGCTGGAAGTACAGCAGGGATCAATAACGATCGATGGGATTGACATTCTCAAGATTCCACGACAGCTCCTGCGAGAACGCATGGTTGTTATACCCCAGGATCCAGTCTTTATCAATGGTTCGCTTCGCCAGAATCTCGATCCCTTTTCTCTGCAACAGGATGATGTGGAAATTGTAGCTATTTTGGAGAAATTGGGACTTTTACTTCCTGGTGTGATCGAGACCGAGGGACTTTCTGATGAATTTGATTCGAATATGTTATCGCATGGGCAGCGACAACTTTTTTGTCTGGCGCGTGCGGTGCTAGGATACAGATGGATAAGGAGGGTGAAGAATAGATGTCCGATTGTGGTAATGGATGAGGTGAGTGCGAGTGTGGATGTTGAGACGGAGCGGGTGATGAAGAGGGTGGTGGGGGAGGAGTTTGAAAGGTCGACGGTGCTGGGGGTTGCCCATAGAGAGGGAATGGTTGGGGGATGCGAGAGAATGGTGGTTTTTGCGAAGGGGAGAGTGTTGGAGGAGGGGGAGTGGAAGGGGTCGAGTAGGGAGAGGAGTGGACTCAAGGTGTGAGAGAGGGGGGTGGAGAGGAAAAGATAGTTTAGAGTACAATGAATGTTGTATATTGGATGGGAATGTTTGTGGATATACCTGATATATAGAATCTATAGAATGTTTAACAAAATCACTCTATCATAGCAATGTCAGTGAAGTAACAAAACGAAATCTCATACAATTATAATATTTGCACAACAGATGTTGACGTACTTTTTCACAGCAAATCTCTTTAATATTCTCACCGAATACTAAGTTATCAGCTAATTCTTCACATCTCACTCATAAGATCGATCCATTCCTAACAGACCCAAAACCTCAAATCTCAAAGCCTAGCGACGATATACCTCTAGGTTGAGTTGAACTGCAACTAGAATTGATAGATACAACTAAGAAGAAAAGTATCAGTAGAAGCCCCTCTCATCAATAGATGCTCATAGCTTCTCTTCCCTCCATATTTGTACCTCTCAATCCTTATTTGAACTTGCCAATCTCTATCGTCTAAATCTTTGTGGACATTTCATGATATCGATCAGAGTATGTACATGACTTGAAGTGTTTACTAGCACGTCTGAGTCTCTTGTTTCATATATTAGAGCACTTGAAAAGCTATGCGCGATAAAGGCTTTGTGAGAGTGAAGGGAGAGGATTTTTTGTAGGCGGAAGTGTAGGATCAATGGGATACTTGATATCTAATCTCTTGAGTAGCTGTTCTAGGGTCCATTGAGCCAGAAGATCGCCTATTCGTGGGAGAATTCGGGCAGGCTTTAGTCACAATGATATTTAGAATATCAATTAGAAGGGTTCAATACAATAGAGGTATTGAATAGTTTCGCTACTCGTCAGATCTAGCCTTTCTCTCCCCGAGTAGCTGTCGTTCCTTAGCGTGGAAAATATAAAAAAGATGCCAAAATCCGATTCCTCTTCCAGCATTGAAGAATGGGTCAATGAATCAATTTCTCGTTGTCAAAGTTTGAAACTACAAGACTTGAAAGTTAATAATCGATAGAAACATGAACTTCATTTTATTGTCAACACACTGTTATATCGAATTCGTCAGCACGAGATAGAGGTGACGTTGAAGATTCTTTGAGTTTTGAAGTTTAATCATTCTTAACCTTAACATCGAGGATCCTCCTGATCCATCAGATCAAAAGACCCTCGATATCTAGAATCTAGATTATAGTTTAGCATCCCGTTATCCCGTCCACGCCGAGGGTCCGAAAATGTCAAGGTTCTATGAACTAGTATATCACATCCGATGTATACCCCTATCACAGCCGCTTACTCTGCATTCATCCCATCCTACAACATTAAGTTTAAATGTAGAGTTACATCGAACCACAATAACATGTCGTATGCTATACAATCACATTCCTCGGAATCTGCTGAGCTGATATATTCTAAACAATCCTTAGGTACTTACCAGTTCGCGCTCTGTGAACAGTTTTTCCACAAGTACCACGGCGTCGATTAGTTGAATACCTAACCCTCGTTTTTGATCATCTCTGTAGAAAAGTCGACGAGCTAGATAGGTACCTACTACCTACGTATACCTAGGTACTCAACCATTCCTCGCTGTAGAAGTGCACCTACCACCTTGATGAATACCGGGATGTTTTTTGCCCTGGCATATCTAACAAGCGCTCTATTTACTTTTTGAAAAAGTATAAATCTTATCAGATAAAAGTGTATTTCTCTATACTGAGGGCTCTGGACCCTTCCTTACTTACAAATATTCGTGTTTGAAGGAAGTTATACTCGTACTCGTTGCTGTCAAAAAGCATACAACGTCGCCAAGAAAAAAAGTAGGTTAGTTCTGATATTATACTTTGCCATATTGCAGTATACACATCTAGCTTCGGAGTTTGTGTACATTTTTACGGCACGAGAGCCTCCTTGATAATGTACGAGGCGATTGTTGATCAGATTCGGCCGAAAAAGAGCTTCGATTGGATTATGAGATGCCGGTGAGATTCAAGGGTCGATACCCGTAGAAGGAGATCTATTTTAGGTTGAGGGGTTTGTAATTTTACATCGAGTTTCGGAATTCGATAGATTAAGGGTGGCGAGGGATTGAATCAGATTTATGGAATTTGGTCTTGATTCTTCTTCTTCTCTGGTACAATTTCTATACATGCAGGATAACGAGGCAATATTAAAGAACTCAACGGCGATGAAATAATTATACTCGCTTCGATGCATTCAATGCATCGACTTCGGGATTATACAGCCGCTTTAAAAACTTAAATCATCTAATATGGAGTTATTAGATGAAAGGAATGATGAGGCGAAGATAGAAGTCTTATGCGAGTCCGTCGTGATTGGATCCATGACGAACCACCTTATTTGTGGAGTCAGAAAGACCTAAGCTCCGCCGCTAAGAAAACCAGAGCTCGCTCCATCAGGACGAAAACACTAGGATCTCAAAATCTCCGTTCCCTTCTCAAAATTATATAACTATATTGAATGATTGCGTATGTATCTCGAATTAATCTTCCGCGCTTGTACAGATATAGAAATATATAAAAGTTTATTCTCTATTAGATTGCTGAACCTCTTCGACTAGAAGTCTCATCACATCAATTCCAATTGCTATTTGACTTGGGAATAAAGGTATGATCACAACTTTCAAGATCATGATCTTGAAAGATGCTTGATCTTTGACGTGTTTGATGTTCCGATTTTCCCGTCTTGACCTCATGGTGCCGGGTTTTTAGATAGTCAGTTAGCCCTCTTGTTGAGTGCGTCTTGTGGTATGTGCATCTAGGTTCGGGGGATCCATACTTCCTTAGCAAGACAACTTGGACGAGTAGATAGTTCTGAACTTTTGATAATGGAAATAATCGCTGCTAATGCCTCCACATGGCTTAATGTAGACGGTGGAGACGTCACCTCATTTCTTTGCTGGTGCTTGAATTTCGAATCGAGCGGTGTTGAAGGATAAACCCCTATCGAACTACATGGACCCTAGCTTAGCTTAACTTGCTTTGGCATTTTCTATCTTGCCTAACTGAGCCAACGTACTTTCTCTCCCACTTCTGAAGATTATGGGATGAACTTTTCGATTTTTTGAATCTTTTAGCTTTCCTGACTGGTTGTCTTTATTTTCTCCGGAGTTTGCACACACGTTTGGTAAGCAGGACCGTCACAGGGTATGAAGTGGTAAAACTGGGGTACATCAGTACCCTGCAACTTGCATGTTTCCCCATTGTGTTCGCAAGCCACATACCATAAATTACCCGATGCTTCGGGCTGCATGAATCATTTGCCGCTTCTAATTATTTGTATATGAGAATTTATTTTGTTATACCTACCTGGGCCCTGTGCAGCTAGAGTCTATAATAATGGGAATACCAACTTTTCTTTTCTATATAACAAACTTAGTAGTTTCATTTGTAGTTGATTTATGGTTCTAATTTAATCGGAGAGATAGATAGTGGTTCTCATTTCCGATGCCTCTTTTCTTTTTGTTCCCGAGTGCCCGAGTCTTCCAGCACGCTCACCCCCACAGATTTCTAGACTTTGAAACACTATCAACTACCACCTTAATCTTTTGGGCTGCCCCACCACACGTGTGACTGAAATCATTGGACCATCTTAGATTAAACAATGCGAGCCAAGATGGAATATAAAGAATACGGAATATTTCTGGGGCACACGTGGTAGTTGCAAAGTCCACCGGAACATTTACAACGGACATTATTTTTGTTCGGCAGATATGAGAACAGTTAGGCTAAAAGGGGGAACCATGACCATAGGTGGGATTACTTTTGGACTGTAGAGCAACGAGCATTCTGACTTTGTAGGAGGGCATAACAAGTAGCGAAAGTGGATAGCGTGAAAGGATTAGGAGAGGAAAACATGGAAAGGTTCGACGAGCTTACTCTCAGGGGTGGGAATACTATGGACCATAGCTAAGCCAAAATTTCTATTCTATGCAACAACATCAATTAGTGGCTTGGTGCAACTTGTTCGTACTGTCGTATTCCGTGTACCCAGGAGTACTCCTGAAGAATTTCTATAAAGACATCTCTTAGCCATCTCTTAGCTATCTCTTGGCCAGCTCTATCCTCCAACACTTCTTCTCACATCCTTCTTGGCTATCTTAGTTGATCGTTCCAACCGCACCATCATGCCCTCCACCAAGTCCATGGCAGCTATGCTGCTCTCCGCCATGACATTGGCACCCGCCTTGGCCAACCCTATTGCGGCCCCAATGCCAACCGCCGCACCAAGCTCTGTCGAGGTTGAATCTGCCTTTGTCGAGCGCAACATTGAGAAGCGTGCTGCAACCTGTACCTTCAGTGGCTCTCTCGGTTACTCCTCCGCCAGCAATTCTAAGGCATCATGCTCAACTATCATCCTCAAGGAATTGACTGTCCCCGGTGGTGTCACTCTTGACATGACCGGTCTCCCTGATGATACTACCGTCATCTTCCAAGGAGAGACATCATTCGCTTTCAAGGAGTGGGAAGGACCACTTTTCGCCGTCAGTGGAAACAACGTCAAGGTCGCAGGATCTAACGCCGACACTGCCATTCTTAACGGAAATGGTGCTTCTTACTGGGACGGTGAGGGTGGAAGCGGTGGCAAGACTAAGCCAAAGTTCTTCCAAGCCCACGACTTGACCAATTCGCTTATTGGGAATCTTACCATTCTCAACCCACCTGTTCAGGTTTTCAGTATTAACAGTGTTTCAAACCTTGAATTGGCTTACATCACTGTCGATGCTTCCGCCGGTGATGCTTTGGCCAAGAACACCGATGCTTTTGACATCGGTTCTTCCGACCAGGTTATCATTGGTATGTTAAATCGAGATGCCTTCATCTATTATTAATGCGATACTAACCTATTGCACAGAGTACGCCACTGTCTACAATCAAGATGATTGCGTTGCTATCAACTCTGGAAGCGTATGTCCATAATCAATCATGCTCCTCATTCTCCCTAACTCCCACTAACATTGATATTCAGCACATTACCTTCAAGAATGGTTACTGCTCGGGTGGCCACGGTCTTTCCATCGGATCCGTAGGAGGACGTTCTAACAACACCGTCGATACTGTCTCTTTCCTCGACTCCACTGTCACGAAGTCTGTCCAAGCTATCCGTATCAAGACTATCGCCGGTGACACCGGACTTGTCAACAACGTCGAGTACGATGGCATCACCATGAGCAGCATCTCCAAATACGGTATCCTCATCGAGCAAAACTACAATGGTGGTGATCTTCACGGAGACCCTGGCACCGGTGTCCCCATTACCGACTTGACCATCAAGAACATTGTCGGTACCGGCGCTGTCGCCTCTTCCGGAAACGATGTCGTTGTTGTCTGCGGTAGTACCTCTTGCAAGTCCTGGACTTGGTCTTCTGTTGCCGTTACTGGTGGTAAGAAATACGCTTCTTGTCAGAACGTCCCAACTGTTGTTGGTGCTTGCTCTTAAGCGATAACAAAGAAGGATTCTTAAGCTTTTTAGCCAAAGATCTTGTTAAGCTGGATGGAAAGTTGGACGATGAATGATCCTTTTAAGGTTCTTTGATCTGAGTTGTACATATTATATTCTCTTCGCTATATATATTTAGAATTTTATTTCTTGAACTATATTGTCATTCATAAGTGTCTTGAATCAGTGACAGCTGTGCTTTGCAATTTTTGACCATGACCTTTGTGGCAGACACGAATGCAAAAACCAGTGCTCAGACCCCAGTGCCAAAGTGTTCTCCTACCTTTGAATATCGCTATGATGGTGAGCTCACCAAGGAGATGTATGACCTGAATATTTGTAGTATGGTCTTTAAAAGTAGCGTTGCATACACACCCTGTAATGCTGTAAGTCTCAACAATTTTGGTAAGCGTAAGTTTATACACAGTATGTAGTAACATCCCACATTCCAAGACATCCAGCATCGTCGCCAGGAGCAAGATAGGGCTTTGAAGCACCGAGTCTCATTACACGTAATTATGGCTCTTCATCGACAAAATTGACGATATATACAAGACTCTTACAGACAGAGAGATGATCATATGATTGTTCTAGCCTGGCTGGGTCTTCGATCTGTTTGTTGCATGGTAGTCGAGGTTGATGATGCTTCCAAGGTTCTTTCGTCAAATTAAATGGCGGTGAATCGACGACAAACGCCTAAGCTTCCTAACGCCGCATAGTCACGTGCTCGAGCGTAAGTAGATTTCATGAGCCCGTGCGGCCTTAGAAATCTCATGATCCTCCTAGCATTTATTGTTATACTTCTGAAATGAAATCTAAAGTGAACTTCAAGTCTCCATATTTATCTCTATTTTCATAGGTATCATATACCACTTTTTAGTTTCGTTTGTCTTCCCTGCTTCTTAGGTCTTCTATTGCAAAGTATAATCTGCTAGAACTCGATCTTATCTCTGTGGATGAAAATGAGAACAGAGAGCGCGGGGACGAGTGGGAGATGGAAAGTCAAGGGAGTTCATCTCAATACGCTTCTCTGTCTTTTAGTCTCTCTATTAGAATCTGTCTAATATTTATCTTATAGCCTCGAACATTATCAAGATCAAATTATTGTCTTTGTATCCCAGGAGATTGAGAAGGGGAAAGAACTCAAACTCTCCTCCCTTTGTATAATACTTTGACCAAAAAAGGATAAATGAAAAAAAAGGGATTATTTTAGCTATGTTTGGAACTGAACTCCTTACTCTTCGTCAATCAAGTCAAAGATACTATTTCTTCAATCCTCCTACGACTCCAATTCTCTCTACCTCCTTATAATCCACACTGCCCGCCGCGCAACCTGCTAAAACTCTTTCCCACTCCCCTACATCTTTAATTTTCACACATTCCTCTGCAGCCTTTACTTTCATCCCGCACTTCTCCCAAAGTTCCACAATCTCCTGTCCTTTAACTTCCCCTTGCGCTCTTATCTTCTCCACAAAACTCCCTGCCAATTTTTGATTTCCAGCATTCAGGATAAGTGTATAGAATGGCAACCAGCCGATTGGAGATTTACGATTTTTAGCTATTTCTTCAAGAGCAGACCAATCGCGTTTTGAGACAAGAGCACGAAGACGTATCCATGTGGATGTTTTTTCCGGCATTTTGAATTCTGTGGTAAGTTTTTTGGCACGAGAAGTGTAGCCTAATTTTATTAATTTGAAAAGAGTTTCGTTCAAGGAAAGACCTGTAAATGATTCTGTGAGGTCGCGGTCAAGAGATTCTTGCATTCTCAATAGTAAGGAAGCTTCGTGAAGAGCTTTGAGCTCGAAAGATGTTTCTTTGGAGTCTGATAAGAGTTTTGCAGCGAGTGCGAGTTTATCGGATGCAGTGCGTGAATCTGGTTGATGGAGGGCTTCGCGAATAAAGACGTTAGCGCCATCAACACGACGATCGTCTTGGTAGTAGAGATCTTTCAGGAGAGAGGAATCTTCTGTTCGTGCTGAGGATTCGATAAGGGAGGTAGCGATAGGTCGAGTGTTTATAACGCGGAAGAAAGAGGCAAGGGGGAGTGACTTTTTGAGATGTAAGAGGACGTAGATTATTAGATCTGAGTCTCCGGATTCGATAGCTTTGTCGAGAGCGATTTCATCTTCTTCCATAGAGAGAAGAAGTGGTACTTGCTTTCCGGCGCGAGGTTCATGGTCTAGGAGGGCGGTGGCTAAACGGCCACGTCCTTCGTCGTAGGCTGCTCGGGCAATTTCTTCAAATGAAATGCCGCGTTTGCCAGAAAGTTTCTCGACAATTACGCGACAGATTGTGTCTTCATCTTCGGACCCTATGCGTACTTTCTGGGACGCCCAGTGCACATAGATCCTGTCGGTTGGAAGTCGTAGATAATCTGAGATCTTGAGTGCTAAGAGATATTCTCGACGGTTGATGAGACGTCTAACAAGTTTTTCTGGAGTTAGGCGTAGAAATTGTTCGTATGAAAGGGGTATGCCAATTTCGTAATATCGGACAGCGTTCAACACCCGGAGTGTTTCGGTCATATCTACAAAATCATCACTGTTGTAAATGTCAAGCACAGATTTACCAAATGAAGCGGCTTTGAGAAGTTGTTTCTGCCAATGGATGTTGAACTCATGACCAGCTGCTTTGACCTAGATACGGTCAGTCATGAAACCTGAATTGTGTGTAGAAGTACCTACGCAAGTATCAACTGCCTCTACTAAGTGGGGTCTAATCAATTGTATGTTATCGTCTGCTTTTGGAGATTGCTGCTCTAACTGCTCGACTGCATCCAATAATATCGATGCTGGTGATTCTGTGCCAAACCGAAAGGTTTCGTCGGTTACTTCCGGTACTTTTTGCAAAAAGTCACAAACATCATTGGTTATCAAACGAACACCGTCATGATCTATTCGGTGGTTAGCTGAAGTCGTGACTAGCTCTGGGGGCTTACAAACCGGCAATTACATGAACTCGACCATCATAATAAAACTTTGCGGCAGCGTTTTTAGGGCCAATGAGATGTACTTCATCCTCCCAAGCAATAACTACCGCATCATTGCCACACCATTGGACGTCTTTGGGAGGAGTTTTCGATCTGGAGTTGTATTCACTCAGTCTGCTTTGGAAGTCGCTCGTAATGACATATGCATTTCCTGTTTCTGTGTAGAGAGCGACAAATTTTCCATTTGGCGATACACTAATATGAGTGAAGGGTCCGATGTCTAGAAAACGATCTTCGGATTCAGCTGCGTCTGCGACGTGTATGGTTTGGTCAATGCTCAGAAGAACTTCCACTGATCTAGATAATGTATATGTCGGTGGTATCAGTGTCCACGAATGAACATCGCCTTCTGGGGGCGTTGCTAATAACTTTGGACGTGGCTCTTCATATCTGGATACCGAAATTAGGTGATTATTTGCGAGCAAGGCCACAAACCCGGTGCCGTAAAATCTGTTCCGTTGGTGAGCTCGCAGTCAATTGAAATTATGTCAAACACAAACCTGCAAGCTATAACGCTGAATTCCTCAGCACCATTTCCAAGAGAAAATTGATTGAAATCTCCTTGTAAGTCATAGTAACATCGTACTGTGCCATCAGCGGTGACGACAATAAGCTTTTCGTCCTCGGTCCAGCCGAGACCTTTAATAGAACCTTGATCCCAATTGATTCTTCTGATTAGCTTTCCAGCACAGCTGTATATATCGATACTGGATTTAGATGCTTGTGATCCTCGAAATGTTTGGAGCTTTGTTTCGTCTCGGTATAGAGCTGAATGAAGTATCATGTAAGCAAATGAAAACATCAAAGTATTGAGCCCACATGCATTCATAAGTCCCTACACTCCAAAGTCCGGCACTTTCATGTGTTCAGTAGGAGCACTAGCTCTAGAGACTCTGATGGGTGAATGCCCCTCAGCAGATGAGGTCTCGCAATCTTCCAACTTGCCCCTTCATTGGATCGACTGCAGCACCCATCGCCTCCCAGATTCTTAGACCTGCAAGAAAGAGGAAACAGTACAATGACTCTAGCAAAAATGATCTATTCCCGATATCAAAAAGAAACAACGCAACGCACCAATTGCTCCTCCGTATGAGCATCCCGTGACCACGTAATTTTCAAGCTCTAGGTCCTGGTCAAATACAGCTGTATATAACTGTATCTTTCGATAGAACTTATCCCCCACCTTCTCCCATTCTGCAGTTGGACTTGTCATTTCAATATTGCTTAACTGTTCATTATAGTTGGGATGCTTATTGTTGTTGCTTCGAGTTGCTTGTTCAATCGTGAAGAGCTCCTAGTTTAAGATGTGGTCAAAGCTTGACGCTAGTGATCATCAACAACATTCAATGTTATGCGATCGACTTCAGCATAGATCCGAATTATGACATCCGACCAGTGAAGCATCCAATTTATTTCTATAGATATTCCACCTAAGAAATGGGATTTGGGTGAAATCATTCTCTTCATGGATTGATGGCAGACGAGGAGTTGATTAATAAAATCCACGAGCTCAGCGACTTGGAGCTCGCCGCACTGATATGCTTAGTCGCAGAAGAGCACTGTATCATTGATACAGATCCCGACGCTCTAGGCGATCTCGTACAAGAGTTACAGCTGGTGAATACACCTCCCTTTCAATATCCTTGCAAGCTACTAATGCTTCGTAGGTCGCATCTAAAGTCTTCGGCTTAACCTATGCTGTTATCGATTGCAACAGCCACACCACCCTCGATGATTTTGCACATGCTATTCTTTCCGTTGATGCGGCTCCTACTCGAACGAATTCTCCTGCAATAAGTCGTCGCGACTCGTACTTTTTACAAACACCAGCTTTCCAATCAATCAATAGACCGTCTATACCGGAAACGACCGATAACAAAAAGATAGCAAATGTCATCATCGCTAGGAATCTCGACGAGGCGCCGCAGCAGATACAGATTCAAGCGTTAGAGCTAATGCGAACGAAACGACTGTTCACAAGGACATCCATACAAAATGCGCCAAAGCGTTTCTTGTTTATAGCTGCTATAGCAGGCGGGGAGGGCCCAAGGTTGACAAAACATCTTAATGATTACATGTTCATTTCTCATGTACACGACCCTGAGGATGGTTTCCCGAACCTAGAAGACATGTTTACAGACGATACGAGTTCCACATTATCAGTTGTGAAAAGGAGTCCAACAATACAGGTTGAGGAGAGTTTATGGGCGAGAATATCTCCGATGGTGAGTGGTCAAAGGCCCATTACTGAGGTATTGTTACTTATAAAGATATAGGATATCGAAAATTTAGCCCAGCAAAGTAAAAATACTACAGTCAGTGTCGAGGTCAAGCAATATCAACAAAATATTGCTTCCTTCCTAAGAATACATCGCGCGGTGGCGACGGGTATATCTGCAATTGCCACAAAGCATTTTGATAAGCTTGTTAGGTAAGAATGACCTCATATGTACACGGAAGTTTGTTCTGATACCGATTAGATGCCTCGCGCCGTTGCACGGCCTTCCATACGCTACCCCATCTCTTATTGCTCTTGCCGCCAGAAAGATATACCTTCATCGCATTGAGATCGTAAGTCCAGAAAGAGAACGTAGTATGCAGTGGGGGAGTGACTTGGATGCCATTAGAGAAATGTTGGATGGTATAGGACCAGAGGAAGTGATTGAGGATGTGTTGGGTAGTGCAGGAGCCGAGGCTCCCTTGTAGAGTAAACCGACTAATTGAATATCAGAAAAATAATATCAACGGAGTGTCAGTAGCAACTGGCAGTCATGATCATAAATGTGTAGTAGTAATGTGACAGGGCATATCGGCAGAAAGGCCAATGTCGGTCCTGTGATTACAAAAGTTTGAGAGTTTGTATCAGTCCCCAGCGCAGATGATATTCGGAAGTGCGCAAGAGGATACCAAGTGGGATTTTTGAATGGCATTATGTGATGAATTGAATCGTCTCGCGCACTTAACATCTACACCACACTTTTTTCTCACACGGCTAAATTCACTTGCGTCACTCTTGTATAAAAAATCACGGAATAGCCTACAATGTTTGTTGTTCTTATGTGACAGGAAGTATCCTCACAATTCCTGGTCAGTTTCCACCCAATTTATATCATGTAATAAGTAATTACAATCGACAGCTAAATTTTGATCTCAACTCACTCCATGGTTCTCACATAGAAAAGCTTTCAAAGGTCTATAATAGATGGCCTGGCTTGCAGGAGATTGTTGTCCGTGTTCAGTATTTTCCGCAGGTAGATGAAAACACTACATTTCGTCCGCCTACTTACACTGGAACTCGCCACCCACAGATGGATGTTTCTAGCTTCAGGTGTTTTCAAGAGATAAGAAGGGGTAATTCTCAACTTGATAAGTGGACAACAGGTATCTAGCCAAAATTTAATAGTACTTGCTTGTCCAAAGGCGCTGAGCTTGGAAGAGTATATGACTCCTTGATAATGACAAAGGGAGATGTTGAACCATCCATCTGGAAACCCTTTTTTGAAGAGATACTGAGATTATCAAGTTCATACTGCCGAATCGGGTCGAAAAAGCAGACTACTTACTTTCCCCGATTTCCTCATTATGAATTGTATGGCCCTGAAGAGGCAATCTTCGCTGTGAAAAAAAGCTTGCTTGTGAGTATTTATTTGCGATTATAATGAGGTTTACAAACACATCAGGCTCAAATCGGGAAGTTGGGACTAACATAGGATGAGTGACCACCGGCGCGGATGGACTGACGATCAGTAGAAAGAATGGAACTTCAATTCTGTGAGAGCTTTGTGAACTGAGAGGAGATTACAAGCCGATATTGATCGATAACTACTCTATCACCGAAATCTGGTATCCCGCGATTTCTCCACACCTTTTATTGACCTAGGCTGGTACCATCTGTATAATAGGCAGATGACATCATCAATATAGCATGATCGCGAAATCAAAGTTGCTACAAGTTCTCTTGCTTCTAGGATTCGTGATCTTGAATGTGGATTTGCATTTCCTCGCCGATTACAAAATGTCCTCGACAAAACCTATATTTTGGTTTTAAGGCAGTTTTTATGATTGCGCAAGTCACTGAATCCGAAGTCATAGACCTCTTCCTGGCTTCCAAGTTCTTCTTCATTGGTACCTGTGGTTCTGACATTGATTTGAGGTATTGTCTACTTGCATGTACCATCAGTGATAGATATTCTATGAGTTTTAAATCATGCCTAGAGCTTTCAGGTCACTTCTCATTTCATTATATGCAAGCTTATCTAATGATGATCGTTCTACATCACAACAGCCTGCTTTATAGTGACTGAAATCCTCAATACTTGCGGTAGCGCTTTCTATCATGGTAGATATCTACTGAGCGATATATTTATCGGAACTGCTTGCTTGAAAATAGGGAGCGTCCGGTGTAAGTGTCTCCATTCATCACATGACTATCATGTGATCGACTCAATGTACGGTAGAGCCACGTTGATTGGACGCCGTTAACACCCGGGGTGCTAACCGAGATATGGTATCTTCCAACGATACCTAGGTAATTTCTTGGTCTACTTCGATGTATCGTGTCAACCCTTGTTTACATTCATATTTTTACAACATCAAATATTCGAAAGTTTTCCTGCAAGAAAAGTAAGCATGACGTCATCCGTTACTGAAATTGAGCCATTACTGGCCAGTTCGATGAGAGTTTTGCGCAATCAAACCACACTTCAAGATCTCATTGCAGCTTATCCATCTTTGAAGGAAAAGTCTCTTGCATCTCCTTTGAGCTTGACAGAGTTGGAACGTCGTGTGTTTCTTGATCTTCCAGATCCAGAAATGGAAAGTGCAAATATAAGTGCAGCAACAAGTCTTTCGCGGGCTGAGTTAATAGAGAAAGCTATTACCGATCGCGGTAGCCTCACAGACTCAGAAGTTTTAATTTTGAAAGATCGATTCTGGACATCCCCCACCCAAGAGGAGAACTCGAGGATAACTGATGGGTTCATGGATTTAAGTGAAGAAGCGGGCGACGAATTTTTTGATGCCAAAGCTCTAGCTTATCTTGAAAACAAGGAAGAAGCTTTCAATGTTGGCATTCATGAGTTCTGGGGACGCGAGAAAGCTGTGCGGAACTATCAATTAAACGATGTACTTAATGCAGCTTTGCCATACGCGCCGGAATGGATAAAGCAGCTCTACAAGGAGGGAAAACAACAATGGGGTTTTGTTTGTTTCTATGATGCTGCTGCTCAAACCATCGATGCAGAACGCCTTGAGGAATTCCAATTTGCCTTAGGTAACTTTTTCGAGCATGCACTTCGGTTCAATGGCTCAAAAGATATCATCAACGCCAAGTGGAATATATGACGTTTAATGCGCCAGCCACTGCCTTTGCGCATACTGCAACTTCCATGCAAACTGAAGATCGCAGTGGTGGGATTACTTTTCAGGACGTCGGCTCCCAATTTCGAAATGCATTTAGGGAAATTTTAGAAGACCCAGAAAAATACCAAAGAAGGGAAGATGTAACATCGACCACTGAATACACAGGTGATCTTGAAGATGGAATTGCCGGTTCTGGGTTTCTCACAAATACATTTCTTGTGTTTGATCCAGTTTGCATCGACTTAGTGGTGGAATCGGGATATTTCTATGATAACATGCGTGTCTTAGCATTCGAGGCCGAATTTCCAGTGCCAGGAAGAACATATGTGGAAGGATATCAGGGTTACACATGGGTGAGACTAGATCAGTTGGTGTACTACTTCTACGAGCTGAGGATAAAAAACGAGCTTGGCATGGATAAGATATGGGAAGCGGCGAAGAAGAGTCAAAATAGTGCATTCGTTAGCATGGACCCCGAGGAGGCTTTGAATTGGTCGCGTTCTAACCATCAAACGACATTCACGTCCGATAGTATACTTGGAAAAAGACGTTACATCATAAGAGAAGCTCAGAAGAGTTGAATCAAAGCTCGGTTGAAAGAGAGACTTTCGAGACAGGTAGAGGAAATGAAGCATGGGCACTACGAAGTGCGGTTTATCAAACATCCTTTTATTGAGAGGGTTGCAATCTTGCACTAGACAACTATTGATGATTGTGACTAGAATCCGATGATAGAAAAATTTCCACCAACTCATTCATATCCACCACCCCCCAAATCGGATATGCGGAAAATTGATGGGGTGACATGGATTTTGTAAATCTAGATCTCAGCACAATTTCTTTGCTTCCGGTCCTCGGAGCAAACTTGGTATTAAATTTACGGAGGTCAATTCGAACTTGGACGTGGCAACAAGCATTTCCAAGGCTCTAGTCAGGGGCCCTAGCCCTTGAAAATACACTAAAGCGGTCTTCCCGTTATCCACTATTGCACCTATCAGATAGGCATCATTTAGGCACCGTTGAGCTCAAAGAAAGATAAATCATATGTTTTCACGATACTGGCAGCTTTTGGCGGGAAACGGAGATGTAACCAATGGGTTTCGCTAGTGCTCAGCACTAACTGTTGGTGATTATTGTGATCACATATCAGGGCCTGTTGGCATGAGACCAAACGTCCATGGAGGGGTAATTTTTCTAAAAGTTTTTTTCTTCAATCTAATCTACATTACCACCAACACGGAAACCAATTAACAACTCCCTTCAAACAAGCAATTGATCGACCCCTCTCTCTTTAGGTTACTTAGCTTGTTGATTTCGGTCCTGCACCAAAGTACCTTCTGCTTTTGATGTCACCTGAATCTAAAAGTGCAGCTAGATCCGCCGCTGCTCGCGAAAATGTCCTCTAATTTGAATTGGAAGTAACCTCAGTAATATCGCGACCAGCGAGACAGATATACTGAAAATGGGACGACCAGGTTGATAAGGACTGTCGGTGATATCGAAATAAAATGGCACATGAATTCCTGAGTTCTATAGGTACAATCTATCCATTTCAAATTCTCAGTTTTATCATTATATTTCAACCCGAAGTATACATAGTTGCCGTGGGTTCACGTCTTATATAAGATGTGATAGGTATCAGGAGCAGGTGTCGAGAAGACGTATCCTCTCAAATACAAAATTGTGATGCTAGTGGCCACATGTGACAAGCGCCTAAGTTCTTGCGGCCCATCCTAAACACTATCTTAATCCCGAAAATATCGCTGTTAAGTATTGCGACTCACAAGCGCGTGAAAGAATCTACATAGCAGGGCATGATAGCCCTGACAGCATGCCATTTCCAATAGTTCATTTTGCTAGGGTAAAGAACTTCCTTGCATTTTGCATTTGCAATTCTCCAATATATCTCATTTCTCAAAACTTCTAATATTCATCAGCTGTGGGTGCCTGGCTATATTCACATGCTATTTGCTCAATATAGGCTGAGTGATTGAATTAGATCTTGAAACATGCGGTTAGTCACCACATACAAAATTATTAGCATATCATAGTATTTCACTTGAATCTATGTACCCACCGTAGGAATAGTCGCGAAGAACCTCAGAACCAAGCATCTACTATTCAATGAGACTAGGAAATCATAAACCGATCGGATCAAATTTGTGAAATTTGAGTGTAGGTGACTAGGTAGGCAGAAGCGTCGCTGCAAATGAGACCATGCTCTCTCAGGAGTCAAATCAAGGTGATGCCAACATAAACCCAACATAATCAATTCAATGCATGAACCCATCCAAGATGCTATGATCCATGAGTTGGGCTTCACCCTATCACTTATCCACCGGGGTGGAGGTGTTTGATTATTTGTCACTTGCAGTCACAGTTTCCGATCTGGAGAAGTATATAACCAAGCATGATTTCTTCGTGCTTTTCTCACAAGCATACTTCGTCCATGATTATTCGAGCAATTACAGGCGTACGCCGAGTCGAACAAAGTTTCTTTACAACTAAAAATTTGGCACTCTTTATTCATAATGAGATGGCTACATATCTTCAGCGTGCTGCTTGCCCCATACCAGGCGCGAGCAGCTGCGGTCTTTTCCTACTTCATGGTATATGTTACAATATTGCTGCAGCTTTCCGGTGATGAAACTGACACCATGATAGGTTGGAAACACGCAATACTTTACCCAGAGCGATTGGGAGATAAATATACAGACTGCAATGGACTACCACATCGACGCATTTGCACTCAACATGGCTTATGGCTGGGTTGATAATGTAAGACAAGTATCGTTGGCTTTTGCTGCTGCTGATAGTGTAGGCTTCAAGTTGTTTTATTCTTTTGAGTATGCTGGAAATGGACCATGGCCTAAGGCCGATGTCATCCAATTCATCCAAAACCATGCGTCGGATGGTTCATATTATCATTACAATGGACAACCATTCGTTTCTACTTTTGAGGGTCCAGAGTCCTCTGGAGACTGGGTGGATATCAAGGCCCAAACTGGATGCTTCTTTGTTCCCGACTGGTCATCGATTGGGGCTGGACCAGCACTGTATGGTTATTGTCCCATTTCTTCATGCACTTGTAATACACAAGGTGATTTGATTGATCCTCCACCACAAGTGGGTGATATAACAGCCATCTTTGTTCTGATTACAGGCATATTAGCATATAATGATCTCTGTACATTCGCTTGCAGTCGTGGTCATTGCCCAGATGTTTGTGCTTCCAATTTAGCCTGTACGTCAGGTTCTGGTGAAGGCAACTTTGGCGGACTTTGCGGATATAGTTGTGGATTCAATTTCTGCCCAGACCCATTTACTTGTCTTACTTATGGTACTGAGGTTCCCCCCCCCCTTCTGCAATACTCGGCGTTACAGGGCTTGGGGCACTCGGGCTGGACTCCACCACTTATGATCCCCTTTGCAATTTTACTTGCAGTCATGGTTAGCAAATCATTTCCTTGATATTTCTTTAACCCTAAACTCACATTTCACATTTCATATTAATACTGCGGCTTTGACTCTGTGTAATTCTAATTCTCCCTGCTCGCCTTCTTTGGAACACCATAGCTAATCTTCGATCAATCAGGATATTGTCCAAATGGCGCCTGCTCTTACGACGAAGTTGTTGACGCAGACATATCACTTGATTTTCCATCAGAGGACGACTTGGTTCCATTCGACACAAGTATAACTTACAGCGCTGGCGATGGCTTCTTGTACGATACACCTGAGCCCTCCGATCTAACACTTAACATCAACTTGATAGGTACACCAATAGCTTGGGGAGATATAGACTGCAGCTCAATATCAGGAGAGTATGCCCCAGGGGTTGACGGAGATACTCTTGGATGCGTTGCTGCATCTGTTTCAGTGAGAAACCTCCGTTCCTTATTTTGTTCCTCCCAAGTTCAAATATATATTTTCTCTTATCTCAATTCTTGTTTGAGTCTTGAATCACTCATCGCAATATACTAAATTTGTCCATTGTTATAGTTCTTAATATACGCAATATCTGAGAACGATGGCAAAATATCTACATCCTGATTACGGAGCCTTCCCGGGAAGCATCATTTCCAAAGCCACTCAGAATGGGAACCTATCGATGGCTGCACAAGGAAATGTATGCTTCTAAATGGTACCCCACCCAACACTTGGACTTCGGTGGGAAACGGAACATACAATGGCATTTATCACGAACTTCATTTCATGCATAATGAGAATGTAGTAGGCCATAGAGTATATCAAGGCATCTCTTCTAACTCTTCGCGATTGACCAACAGAGCTTCCGGCTATGATTTGGGCCCAGTGAAATTGTCAGAACTTGGAATAGGAGCCGAGGCTTATTTTGACCCTGATTCAGACACTGGTCTCACGACTTCATTCGACAAAGTCGATTTAACACCCGTACAAGGGGCAGAGTTTGTAGGAGATGCTATCGAAGCAACAATCTCGGAATCTGAGTTTAATGAGCTGTGTTGTCAGAGCAGCGTCCTCGGTCAGACTGTATCCACTGCAGTGATTCGTGTTACTGTGGGAGTTTCGCCAGGCGCTTTGCCTTGGAACTCTCCTTACACACCAGAGCAGGCCCTTGAAATTTGCAGAAATGGAACAATCGGGAGTGTTACATTCAGCTGCCCCTACAATCTGACGAGTATCGACCCAGAACTGCTCGACGACCCAGACAGAAATGAGACGGAATATGTCTGGCTTGCGCTGAGCACCAGAACCGATCACTCAGGACCGGCGGTTGATTACATAATTGTAAACTATGCCAACTCAGCACAGAGAACAACTTTCACATCGGCTACCTATCCCAATGGCCTTTTTGGACAGAGTCTGCGAGCCAGCGGTGGAGATCCGCATGCTTATGCACTTGCAAATAGGGATTGTACTAACACGACTTTGATCAACATGGCACCTATCGGCAGAGGGGGAGTTCCGGTTCATTCAGAGCATATAATAGAGCGGGTGACAATAAGGAACTTCATGGAATTTGTTCAAAATCCCCGGATAGATCTTGAAGATGGACAAGGTGAACAGACTGTTCCTCTTGACCTGGGAACTGTTCCGTTTGCGGTAATCAACGATTACATGAACCTTCCGTACAATCAGTGGCCAGGCTTGGCAGGACAACAATTGAACAATAACTCGCTATTCGGAAATCTGGGCAATGCGCTGGGTTCCACTGCAGTACCTAGGGTCATGCCAAACCTACAAGCATCCTTGAACAATGTGAAAACACGAGTTTGGGGGGCTATAGTGAACACCAATGCTAATCCAACCTTCAACCGATATGCTAACAATCCTACCACGCGAAATACAGAAAGTGCTTTAAGTCTCCTACGTTCGGCGAGTTTCTGACTAATTCTTGATTCGATATTTTGACGTACATATAGTAGAAAATCATGTACTGACATATATGTTAAATAGGGCCTGGCTGTTTTTAATTACATAAATGACCCAAACATACAGGCACTTATGGGAGAAGTTCATCAAGGCATTCACACAGCTTTGACAGAATTTGACACCCTATACAACAGTGCTCCCTTACCCGCAGCGCAAACCGTACACTTGGCGGATCTCTGGGACGAATACATCAAATTTTTGGCGAAGCGAATAAGGAATCACCATTATAATTATTTGACTGATCCAACTTACGGAAGGTTCAATTTACTGAGGGCAGGCTGGCAAAGGGTGTTGGATAACAATCCGACACGACACAGGACGGTCATTGTTAACGCAAACCTAGCTAAGATCAATACACTCGCTGTCCAAGTTGAGGCTATAGTGGTCTTTAATGAAGCTCCATTCAACACTTGAACTAGGACTAGAAAATGTCTCCGAATATATTCTGATTTTCGTACGAAGGCGTGTATCTTGAAAGCAATTGTAGCGCAAAATTTCGGACGCTGGACTAAGGAAAGAAAAGCGAACTGCTTTCTGTGAGAGCTATTTTGGTATTGGTCTACACATCTATGTAGTTATAGCTCAAAAGTTAATGATTGAACAAACTTCCATCATTCTGATAGACCACTGTGATGATGTGATCATAGTTCGTGCCAGTATAATATCAAGTGAGGAATTAGGTGTAAAGTTTCGAGAACACGTGTGCAAGGGAAACACCATCGAGGCCTTACTTAGAACAACGCTTTAAAATGAAATTAGGGACCATGTATCCATCTACTGAAATGTGCATCTCTTTGGGAGATACTACGAAATCTTCCAGGAGCGCAACGTGATTAGGTGAGTGCAGCGTCTAGAAGCCAATGCTCAGAAAAATCGATCGATTACTGTGGTCGGTATGTGAAAGAAAGAAAAATAATAACCCCCAAAATTGTGCTTTTGCATGGAGCTGCAAAGCCTTGTGCTCCACGATTAATCTGAGTCTATGTGTCTAGGAGACGAGCTTAGGGAAGATTGGACAAGTGGAAAATGCCACCAAATCACCATGGTTCATTCGCCAATTTCTCCTTAAGCACTCAACTCCACCAACTCGTACTATCCCCTCAACCGCGCCATTGCCAACACTCTTCAAAGAACTCATCATTTTCGTCCAATTTAACTGTAGATGCCTGCGACCCAGCATCAATCTTCCATGCACGATATGCAATTTTCACATACCGTAGTGAAGGACATAGCGCGGAAATTAGCTTTATGTAGCACAATGCATCATGAGGCGATACGAAGGGGTCTGGATTAGGACCCGGAAGGCCGTCGGTACTGCTGCAACGCTGACCTATGCATAAATATGTAAGGGAATTCATGTTGGATAGATGCATTGAAAAATTGTCCTATGATAAAGTTAACATAAGCCATGGCAAGGTGATAATTAGTCACATTTGGTATAGGATAAATTGCAAAAGACATACCCATTGAGTAGCAAAATCTAGATAGAGTCCGAGCTTAGTGAGACCTCTTCCATGGCCTGGAAGTCTATCAAGAATCGTATAAGGAGCTAGCGCATCATACCCTGGAGGCTTTTCTAAAACTGGCGTTAGGAGATTGGGGGTGTTTGGTACATTAGTTACTTCTCTGATCGACAGCTCAGATGACCGTGGAAGGTCCAGCGTGTTGAACTCATCCAATAGAGTCATACATGCTATAAAGCTGAGTAACTGCGAGCTTCCGAAGATCGGCAAAATTTCTTGCCTCATCATCCATTCAGGCTCTGAGTGCGCTATCGATACGAGTAACCTTAAGACTGCGCAAGGAACTCACATTCTCAAGGAGCGTGTAGTCGATGTCGCAGAATTGAGCGGTGCTGTTGCTGGAATCTTCTGCGACCAAACCATTGAAGAATCCCAGATCGGTAATGAATGATGTATTGGTCAATTGCTCTAGATAGTTATCAATTCTTTCAGACGCAGGCTTGCCAGGGATTAAATCGGCAGGAAGAACAAGTCGACGCAGCTGCAAAGGTTTTGCTGCACATATGGTGTGGTAATAATCACACAAATATTCCAGAATATACTTGCTGCCTCGTCTCAATCTGCCGTGTGAATTATACGGCTCAAACGAACTTCCATAGTCTGTAGGTCCAAGTATCAGAACCTTGAGGTGGGGACATCTGGACAACAGTTTTGCCATATCTTCTATTCCGTTTGTTTCGTCGCAAAAATCTTGAATCTCAAGAAATGACAGATTTTGAAACTGTTGTAACATAGTTGTGCTATTTAGACAGCCCTTTATCCGAAGTTTTTTAAGCTTTGTACATGCCTGCAAGGCTTTTCGAAAGCCTTCTTCTGTGAAGGCATGCAACAAAGTATCATCGTTTGCATTGTCGATCAGCCTGACAGAGTCTGTTAGTCTGTATGATTGGCTACTTCAACATGAAAAGGAAATATCAAAGAAAATACTTAGCATACTTCAAAGTCTGAACGCCTGCCCCCAGTTCCACGATTCGCGTCATATGATCTGTACATGCTTTTCTGAGCTGTATGATACGTTCCTCGCGATAAAGCTGCACTTCCTCATCTTCTGAATCCTCCTCAAAATCAGCTTCATCCCAATCGCGAAATTCGCCATCAATTCTGATTTCCACTTCCTTCGCCAGCGAGATGTTGGACGGTAAAGGAGGCATATCCGGCTTCCTCGGTCCATCAAGTATCAATTCCGAATACCATTGGGAATATAGCATTGGCGTAAGTATATCCCGAAAGTCACGACAAACGCGCACCAGACATGCAAAAGTCTTAACATCAAGGTGTTCCCCCAACGCAGTGTGCATTTCTTCAGGGAGCGACAAGATACCCATGGTGTCAGCATTCGCATTGAAAGTTCCTGTCATGACTTGAGATAGGATGTACTTCAAACATTGAGGCAGAAAAAGAAAAAGAAAAGAGCTGTCTTTATGTAGCTAGTATCCCCAACTGTTGGTTGCAGCTTGCTAATTTATCTTTCTAGGCAACCACCGCTTAATTGACTTCTGTAGGGAAGGGGGCAAGGGCAGGAGGATACAAACAGGCATGAATCAAAGGAACCTGATTTATGCATATGAAAAACCAACTAGAGTTTCCATTTCTTCCTCGGATATTGATAGCCTTCTCAGCAATCAATGGTACCCAGAACAGATACATATAATCACTCTTAGATTACGACAATCTCAGGGAAACTGTCAGTTTTGAATTGTTTTAACCATTTCTGAGCCAAGTGCAAATGTTGTGTAGCAATTGTCAGTCGAAGTCATATTTCTTCATCGTCTAATGCTTTGCAAATGTCTTCGGGCGCGCTCGAGACGCGTTAGGAACTCTGGTTGTTGACAATCTTGACTGGCAGAACTGGTCACTGCGCAGGGGTTTGCGTGGCGTGATGATAAATCTCTTGATTTTTACTAAAAACACACCTTACATCCAGGGGATAATCCGTCAATCGCTCTAACCCCACACCATGTAAAATGCTAACGGCAATCTCAAATCGCAACCGAGAACGATTATCATATATATGGGTGTCAAAAAAATGAGGAACAATAATGCTTCCATCCATGTTCTGTCATCTAGACGCAAGCTGCTTTGTCATGTCTATAACTCTGCAACATAATGCAAATACTATCCTAACACCAGCAACGACGAGGCCAGTCTTTAGGTGAAGCCTGTCCTTAGATTGGTTCGTCAAACACCAAATTTATGTATGGAAAGGATACTAAATTCTGCAATGACTCGCGATCCCGAGCATATGCTAAGCTCTAGCTGCCCCCGCGTCTTGCCTTATCCACTAGTTTCACAAACTCGTGATTATTAATCGTCTGTAATCATCTTTACTGTGGAACATGGTCCATACGATGCCAATTTCTAAAATCTTAGGCACAATATGCCACTTTTCTTCTCTTCCAAATATGAATGCTAAAAGATTGTACGACTACGCACGATCCCCTTCTTACTTGAGCCTCTCCCTGGGGGCGTTTATAAGCTTTCTAGTTCTACAGTTGGATTTTGCGGCCCTTTCAGCCGAGTTCGATATTACTATTATTATAATTACTGGCAAGATTGAGGATATACTGTTATATTGATCAGCTGATCGATTCAACAGATATAAGGGAAAGCGAATAGAGAACGAGCAAAGCTCTTGAATCTTTTGAACTGAGTTCAATTCACTTACATCTGATAGGGATTGAACATGATTTACCTTTGAAGGCTTTAAATTGAAGAATTGAAGAGATAAAAGCAAGTGGGGGAGCTCCTCGAACTGGGGCTAATACTGTGATATTTCACGTAGTATCTTAGTAATCACTTTGCATCTCAAAGCACCTCCGGACACAATATCTTCCACACTAGATCCATACCATGCGATTCAGGTGGTTCCGTGGAGGAAGATCAGACAGAATAATCATGTATAAAGCTCCTTTCCCTCAGCTCTATTCATATATTTCTCGTGGCAGCAATTCGAATTCCAATTCAATACCATTGACATCCTCACGTTGGCCAAATGTCCAAGCGTATTCTCCTCACCGGCGCAAATGGCTTCGTCGGCTCATGGGTCCTCGACCACCTCCTTAGGCAAGGCCACTTCGTCCGCGCCATAATTCGCTCTGAATCCAAAGCCGAACGAATTTCCTCCGATTTCCCTGCCTACAAATCCCATCTTGACTTTGGAATCGTTCCCGATATCACCGCCCCCGGAGCTTTCGACGAGGTGGTCAAATCCGATCCTTCTTTCGATGTCGTGATACATACTGCTTCTCCATTTCTATATAAGGCTATCACGGATAATCGTGAATTTCTTGATCCGGCAATCAGAGGAACAATGGGTGTCTTGGAAAGTGTGAAGAAAAATGCACCAGAGGTAAAGAGAGTTGTGGTCACAAGTAGCTGTGCTGCGATTATTAATTTTACGGAGGAGGTTGTTAGCCAGCCGCAAAAAGTCTATACGGAGGAGGATTGGAATCCTACTACATGGGAGAGTGCATTGGAAGGGACGCCGAATCATGCGTATCAGGCTAGCAAAAAGTTTGCGGAATTGGCTTGTAAGATTTTTGTTACTGGGAAATTGTGATGGTGGATGAATACTAATAATTGCTATTCAGCATGGGACTTCGTGGAAAAAGAGAAACCAAATTTTGATTTGGTGACATTAACTCCTCCGATGGTTTACGGACCGTTGAGACATACAATTCAAAGTACAAAGGATCTGAATCAATCAAACTTGAGGATCTATACTGGACTGGTGAATTCATCTAAGGATGCTGAGCTACCTCCAAGTGAGTTTCTTCAATAACAAGATGATTGTGAAAATAGAAGCTGATGTGACTAGACGGCCTCCATGCATTCACTGATGTTCGTGTAAGTATATCCCCTCTCCTTCGAAAAGCCTAAACATCTAAAAAATTCCAGGACCTAGCAGAAGCTCATGTCCTCGCTGCAACTCTTCAAGAAGCCTCGGGACAACGTTTCATTGTTTGTGAAGGTCAAATATCATCCCAAAATATCAGTGATATTCTTCGCAAGAATATCCCAGAATTGGAAGAAAGAACACCAAAAGGCGTCCCCGGTGACAAAGGATTAGAGGATGGCTCTTTTGTATGTAGTAGCGAGAAGGCTGGAAAGGTGTTGGGTTTGAAATTCAGAAGTAAGGAGGAGACTTTTGTGGATTTGGCCAGACAGCTCCTAGAGATTGAAAAGAGACAGAAAGCTGCAGAGTAAGTTGTGAGAAGATAACTTATTTGTGAAAGAGTGGATGCTTTATTGATTTATATATCTATTGTTGCAAAAATTCTTGAGACGCGCTCCGGACTCGGGATGCAGATTTACTGTGCTACCGTGTATGGTCCTTTTGAAGACCATTGTTTAATGGCAATAACCACTCACGCAAGTATAGTCAGCGTTGCACGGACTGCTTGCGCTGCAATCCCATCCTTCGCAACCCCAAGTACAAGCTTCGGTTTGACGGCAATAACCACTCACGCAAGTATAGTCAGCGTTGCACGGACTGCTTGCGCTGCAATCCCATCCATTGCAGCCCCAAGTACAAGCTCCGGTTTGACTGGGAGCCTTAGTAGTAGTAGCGCTGGCAGTTGGTGTGCTCCCAGTGGTAGTGCAGCCCGTTTTCGTATTGTGTAAGAGCAACTGTTGGGCAGAAGACAAAACTGATGAACTTCCTTCCATAATCAAGAAGTTTTCTTCTTTGTTATACTCGAACCATGACGCTGCAATGTAGTTTGGATATGAGCACATGTCTTGATTCACCAATTGGCTGATCCACGCAGCATTTCCAGAAGATCCAGCGTAGCCTGTTTCACCAATGGCAAATGGAATGTTATAAGCAGCGGAGTAGGTTTTGTAGAAATTGCCGTAGCAGTTTGAGAATGCGGAGGAAGAGAGTGGTGATGATGAACTGGGGTAGCAATCGACGCCTACTACATCGACGTAAGACGGGCCTGGCCAGTATGGCGCGACCGGAGCAGATGAAGTGTCCACATTGGGAGACCAGAACATTTTGATCTTGGGATTGGAGGAAACAGCTGCATGAATATTCTTCCAAGCAGTGACAAACTCGGCCGCCGTTCCATGATATGTACCATCCGTCTAATCCCATGTTAGTCATGATGATAGTAAAGTTTGGGATGAGTTATACTAACAACGTAGTAATTCATCTCATGACCAAATCTCAACCAAACTTCTACACCCTTCGCAGTGAATTGTTCCAATACACTCGCAACCTGATTAGCCACACTACTAGTTACCTGACTAAATGGAATAGTCGGCATGACCGCTGGTTGGAACACAGCACCAGAAGCAACGACATCATCTAGACGTTGAAGGAGTTGAGATCCAGTAAATGTACTAGATGTTATCTGCGCATACCATCCATAAGTACTGGCTTTTCCGCCGAGCTTGCTGTTTAGTTGTGCCATTGTATAGGCTGGAGATTTCACTTGGTACCCATCTGAAGGAAGAAATCCAAAGGCCACGCCGTTGGAAACTACTCCACCGGAAGGGAGGCCATCAATTGGAGCTGATGGATGTTAGTCATGAGTTTTACGAAGAATAGGAATATATCACCTCGTTTTTCAACAGATAATTGCGGAGTAGCTAAGGCTGACACTGCCGACAAAATGGCTGCGCCGGAAAGAAGAGAGGTAGAGAATGATTTCATGGTGGGATCTAGATGTAAAGACTGTTGGTTTATGAGTTTAAACCAAAAACCTTCTAAAAAACAAGATGAGATGAGAGTAATCGAGCAAGTGAGATGATAGATGAAGTGCCTAGACTTTCAATAAATCAATCACAGTATATGTAGTTACCCCTCCAGTTCACCAAGACGTTTTATCATGTGAAGAAAATCCCAGCCGCCCCTTGAGTTTCAAAATATGCAACACCATGGCCCATGAAGCTTATTCACCATATTCCTTCGAGGAATTCGTCCAACGCTAGCAAGGATAATTACTTTAAGGTTATTTTAGAGTTAAGTGGCTTCCCTTTTAATGGGATGAACTGCCTCGAAAAACAGCATTTGATCAATAATTTATTGAATAACAAATCAAATACCCAGGTGGTTTTGTTTATCTTCGTAATTTTAATTTACGATGAGCTTAAATTATGAATCCTTGCTAGCTTCCAACAAACTTTTTGAGAGCATAAGATACTGTTTTAGACCCCAACATGAAAATGCCGTGTGGGTGACGGAATCCGTCGATTCAGCCGCATGGCATGTTATTTCCCAATCGCATTATACACCGAAATCCATCCATTTGACATTGGCGCTTAATTGGTGGATCTTCTTGATGGGAAATAAGCATTCTTTTATCAACCCTGCAAGATGACATCCAGACCCTGTGAGACCACAAAAGCCGTACATACGATTCCTGTGGGGAAAACCATATTAAATCGAATATTGAGAATGAGAGTATGAGGTTTTATTGTAGGATTCTATATCGCTACGCTCATCACATTTAGCTCCATTGCTGGACTCTTTGGGAGTAATACTTCTTCATCTTCATGTAAACAGAGTATCACTGACTTCACAAAGGTGCTTCCATTGCAAATGGAGCCGGAACCATAAGGATATGTATCTTTCAAGTGAGCGGGCAGGTGTTTTCGGGGTAGCCGATAGCATCGCTGCTATCAAGAGTGGAGAGAGGCGTGAAAGATAACAGTCTCACGGAGATGCCGAAATTGAAGATGTCAAAATTTAGAGAAGATCTTCACTGCCTCGCATGTGTGACCAGCAAACATGAACATATACGAGAGGGGTAACCATTAGGGTGTTGTTTTGAAAATGCACGTCTGCATATGTCGTATACCAACAGCGATTGATGCATCTATCCATTCTGATATTATCACTTGTGCCGAGAAGCGTCTCTTGCATGTGCTGTTCAGTATTGTTCAATGCCTAATTCCTAACAAAAAGTTAGCAAGTGCATACAGTCCGCAACAAGATTTCAATATATACGATAAAGTAACGCTCACCCACCTATGCTCACATATGTATACACAAACGATTTCTGATGACAATACTTGTGGACGCACGGATATTCACATCAGCATTTTGTATTGCGAATTACGATATAGCCAAAAAAATGTAGACTTACATCATTTGACCGTATATCATGAGCGGGAAAGACGATAGGGAAGGTGGTAAAGACTTTGTGGGTGCCGTTGGGTAAAGAGACTGGGCTATGGATCAGAAGATAGGGGCCTTGGCAAGATGGCTAGTAGATGTGGCCGAGGAGAAGGCGGACAAGTGGATTTGTAGAATGCCTGGGTAACTTAGGCTTCAAGCTATTCTATTCAAAATCTATGGTTTATTGAAATGTCCACTTGAATATGACTTTTGTAGCGATCGAAAACCCATCCTAACAGTAAGCCACAAGCTGCTGATGCAGCTGCGGTGTCTCCGACCTTAGCGCCAAATTGAGGAAGCTTCCAGTTAGTCTTACTCGAGGCAGTCTTGACTTTGTCGCAACCAGTTGGATGACTGACGAAGAACATGGTCTATACTATATGCAATATTTGGTCTGTTTGAGAAAGAACGTGGAAGAGTTGGTAAGGTCAGTGTTGATAAAATCGGTTTTTGTTGAAAAGAATATCTCCATGCAAAAAAGACCTCCTTGTGACCACTCTAGAGACTCTTAATGATGAAATCGAATAATGGATCTCTGATGAAGGTTGTATTTGAGGACAGCTTTTCGTAGTCAGCATGATAATTCAAGTTCGAATCAAACCCCAAAGCTAAGGTCTTAGAAGCCGCCATCACAAATCATTCCAGTGTAGGCAATAGTATACTACAGTGAAACTGTGGCGTGTATTAGTATATTAATATTGCAGCTAATATATATAGAAAGGAGGTTATACCACTTTTAAATATATTTATATACCTAAAGAATATTAGCAATATACTGAAATATACTGAAATACTGGAATACAATATAAAACATACATTCCTATCCGAATTAAACTGAAAATAAGGGATCTCTATTTAATTTGAAATGAGGAATGGAATTTTATTACCCAATATGAATAGGAATCCCTTATTTCTAGCCTAATTTGGATAGGAATATATATTTTATATTGGATTCCAGTATTTCAGTATATTGCTAATAGTATTGAATGACTAAGTGATATTGAATACTTTCAGTGGTATTGAATTCTGTACTATATACGTATATATTTCGAAAAAATTCGATACGCATTACTAAACTAACCCGTATACGAAATACGGGAAATACTATTGCCTACACTGAATCATTCTGCCCGTTGTAATCTATTCATTCTATATCCCGAGGTCATTATCACAAAAAGAGCATTTTTGCTGCAATAATTTGGTTTGTTCTTGAAAGTGATTCATGGCGCTTGAAGAAAAAGTTACGGTATGAAGCGACGTGAAACCAAGTGAATCCTCTTAAGGAAGGATACAAATCAAACACATATACAAAATTCAATGAGATTCTTTCAATCGAATAAACAACTCTAAGCAAATTAATGATATAATTGAAAAAGTAATAATGTACTCAACAAAACACCTTACTTGTAAAGCTGGAATCATTAAATCCATCTAAGTATAAAACTATTGATAGAAAATTTCAAGTTTTCTCAAAGTAGGAGGTTTAACCATATGTTTTCCCTCCTTTATTGTAAGCAATCGCTGTCAAGATCAATACACCTCGGAGAGAGATCTATAAAACTAAGAAAATTATAATCAAATTATTGATAGAATAATTCGATTGCCTCTAAATCAAAATTAACTCTAAGTCGCACACCCCACTTTTGGGCCACCTCCCTTTTGGGCCACCTTATAAAATATCTATATACAACTTTCAAACTTCAATAATTCAATAACTATCTAATCTCAATACAATCTCCTATAGTATCAATTTCATATATATTATTAAAGTCCTTTATATTAATTTCATAATCATTAGCTTCGATTTGAATTTGATATATAGCATTAATCCCTGAAAACTTCAAATTTGGATTAATAAAAATCTTCCTTTTTTTTTTAGATATAATATTTTCTAATTTGTATTCTAATTCCTTTATTTGATGTTTAGAATTTATAATTTCATAGTTCTTAATATCAAAAGTCTTTTGAATCTTTTGAAATAATAATCGATAAGTATAAAAATCTATTTCCTTTTCAGATTCTATTATTAAAGTATATCTATATATATTGTTTACTTTTTGAAATGTTTTCTATTAAATAAAAGACAAATCTATACTTTATTGAAGCACTAGATTATTATCTAAAATTAGATTTATATTTACAATCTCCTTATTATTGTTTTCAAGTAATAATCTTAATATAATAGGTTTAGTATAATTTAGAGATTATAAACCTGAAACTTTTTATTCTGAAATGATATTATTTGATATTAAATTAGTTAATCTTGCTTTATAATAATATATAAAAAAATTCCTTTTGCTAATAGATGTAAAATCTGATAATAAATCTAATTTATTAAGTTTATATTGATATTTGTTTTTTAAGAGAAAAAAAACTAATAAATCAAAAAATTGTAATATATATGATATATATAATAATAGAAATAAGAAATATATATTGTTTTTAAAGTATTCAAGTATAAATTAAGTAATTTCATAACTTATATATTTATTCAAAACAAATAATCTAGTCTTTTTTGGATCAGAGGGGGCTATTTGAGGAATAAAAACCTTTTTTAGCTATACTAGATCTGTTTTATTGGTAATCCATCCATTTTCTATAATATAGAATTTCCAATCTTTATAATTATCAAGTTTTATAAAGAACTATTGTTGTTGAATATTTTTACTCTTATATATAATAAGGGGTAAGAATGCTTTTCCTATAACTGAAATATACTCAATAAAAAAGGTCTAGCTTTTTGTATCCGATTGCTTTTTTTGAATAAAATATTGCTCAGTATTCTCAAGTATTATATTATTTAAATTTTAATCTTCTATAATACTAGTTTCATCTATATTCTATCTGTTTTTTAGCTTAATATACATAATAGCCGGTAAATTCAACTTTTCGAAGAACTTATTAATAATTTCAGTAGTAGTATTTGAAATATGTTGATTATCAATTCTAAGTTGTTTTTTAATTCGAATTATAGGGTTTCTATGTAAAAAGTTAGATATTCATCGTTTTCCAAGTGTAAATTCACTTCTTCTTATTTTAAGGAGGCTTTCATCGATTTCTTATATTTGCTGGTGTGTAGGGTTAGTGTTTAGGGCTTTTTGGATTAATATTCATTTTGTTAATATTTTTTTCTGATTTGAAGCTATCTTTTGCATATTTTTAGTATCTTTTTGATAAGAGAGATAACCTTTTATATAATTCTGAAGAGTAGTATAAGATACTTTATATTCTAAATCAGCTTTATGAATAGCTATACTTTTTGTTATTGTATTAAGTGTTATAGCAATATTATTTTCGGTATAATCATTTCTTATAAGATAATAAATAATATATTAAGATCTAAAATCAATTGATTAAATGGTTGTTGAATTATTGAAGATTAAAGAGAGATGATTAGTTAGAGCGGTGAGATTTATGAGGTGGCTCAAAAGAGGGGTGGCTCAAAAGTGGGGTGTGCGACTTATATAACCGAAATAAGAGGCGGAAAATGAATACCATCTAAAGGGATTTTGATAATTTGAATCTCTTTTCTA